TGCTTAAGGCAACGTAACCTTTTCCCTGTGATATCCTGTGTATTACCAAATATGTATATCTTAACTATTTCAAACATTCTTTTAAGTCAATTTCTAGACTGCATTAAATTCCATATTACCAGGAAACACATACTGCCAAGTATTTTACATATTAATAGTTCTCTGAAATTTGAGTATTTTATGGGGAAGCAATTAAAACAATAATTGAAAACAGAAATTCCAAGCATTCAAGTTGGGACCTACATGTATCTATATAAACTGCCAACACTAGTTCATCCTGTAGTTCAAGGAAAACACTTCTTCATGATTATAACAGGTTAAGTGGTACTCTTTACCTTAAGACTACAATCTGAGGTACTCTTTACCTTAAGACTACTACCTGTGGTACTCTTTACCTTAAGACTACAATCTGTGGTACTCTTTACCTTAAGACTACAATCTGTGGTTCTCTTTACCAATAAAACAACAATCTGTGGTACTCTCTACCTATAAGACTACAATCTGTGTTACTCTTTACCTTAAGACTACAAGCTGTGGTACTCTTTACCTTAAGACTAAAATCTGTGGTACTCTTTACCTTAAAACTACAATCTGTGGTAATCTTTACCTTAAGACTACAATCTCTGGTACTCTTTACCTTAAGACTAAAATCTGTGGTACTCTTTACATTAAGACTACAATCTGTGGTAATCTTTACCTTAAGACTACAATCTGTAGTACTCTTTACCTATAAGACTACCATCTGTGGTACTCTTTACCTATAAGACTACCATCTGTGGTACTCTTTACCTATAAATCAACAATCTGTGGTACTCTTTACCTTGAGACTACAATCTGTGGTACTCTTTTCCTATAAGACAACAATCTGTGGTTCTCTTTACCTATAAGACTACAATCTGCGGTACTCTTTACCTTAAGACTACAAGCTGTGGTACTCTTTACCTTAAGAATACAATCTGTGGTACTCTTTACCTATAGGACTACAATCTGTGGTACTCTTTTCCTATAAGACTACAATCTGTGGTACTCTTTTCCTATAAGACTACAATCTGTGGTACTGTTTACCTTAAGACTACAATCTGTGGTTCTCTTTACCTATAAAACAACAATCTGTGGTACTCTCTACCTATAAGACTACAATCTGTGTTACTCTTTACCTTAAGACTACAATATGTGGTACTCTTTACCTATAAGACTACAATCTTTGGTACACTTTACCTTAAGACTACAATCTGTGGAACTCGTTACCTTAAGACTACAATCTGTGGTTCTCTTTACCTATAAGACTACAATCTGTGGTACTGTTTACCTTAAGACTACAATCTGTGGTTCTCTTTACCTATAAGACTACAATCTGAGGAACACTTTACATAAAAACTACAATCTGAGGAACTCTTTACCTTAAGACTACAATATGTGGTACTCTTTACCTATAAGACTACCATCTGTGGTACTCTTTACCTATAAGACTACCATCTGTGGTACTCTTTACCTATAAAACATCAATCTGTGGTACTCTTTACCTATAAAACATCAATCTGTGGTACTCTTTACCTATAGGACTACAATCTGTGGTACTCTTTTCCTATAAGACTACAATCTGTGGTACTGTTTACCTTAAGACTACAATCTGTGGAACTCGTTACCTTAAGACTACAATCTGTGGAACTCTTTACCTTACGACTACAATCTGTGGGAGTCTTTACCTTAAGACTACAATCTGTGGAACTCGTTACCTTAAGACTACAATCTGTGGAACTCTTTACCTTACGACTACAATCTGTGGGAGTCTTTACCTTAAGACTACAATCTGTGGTTCTCTTTACCTATAAGACTACAATCTGAGGAACACTTTACATAAAAACTACAATCTGAGGAACTCTTTACCTTAAGACTACTACCTGTGGTTCTCTTTACCTTAAGACTACAATCTGTGGAACTCTTTACCTTACGACTACAATCTGTGGGAGTCTTTACCTTAAGACTACAATCTGGGGTACTCTTTACCTTAAGACTACGATCTGTGGTACTCTTTACCTTAAGAATACAATCTGTGGTACTCTTTACCCTAAGACTACAATCAGTGGTACTCTTTACCTTAAGACTACTACCTGTGGTACTCTTTACCTTAAGCCTACAATCTGTGGTACTCTTTACGTATAAGACTACAATCTGTGGTACTGTTTACCTTAAGACTACAATCTGTAGTACTCTTTACCTATAAGACTACAATCTTTGGTACACTTTACCTTAAGACTACAATCTGTGGGACTCTTTACCTTAAGACTACAAACTGTTGTACTCTTTACCTTAAGACTACAAGCTGTGGTACTCTTTACCTTAAGAATACAATCTGTGGTACTCTTTACCTATAAGGCTACAATCTGTGGTACTCTTTACGTATAAGACTACAATCTGTGGTACTGTTTACCTTAAGACTACAATCTGTAGTACTCTTTACCTATAAGACTACAATCTGCGGTACTCTTTACCTTAAGACTACGATCTGTGGTACTCTTTACCTTAAAACTACAATCTGTGGTAATCTTTACCTTAAGACTACAATCTGTGGGACTCTTTACCTTAAGACTACAAACTGTTGTACTCTTTACCTTAAGACTACAATCTGTAGTACTCTTTACCTATAAGACTACCATCTGTGGTACTCTTTACCTATAAATCAACAATCTGTGGTACTCTTTACCTATAAGACTACCATCTGTGGTACTCTTTACCTTAAAACTACAATCTGTGGTAATCTTTACCTTAAGACTACAATCTGTGGTTCTCTTTACCAATAAAACAACAATCTGTGGTACTCTTTACCTTGAGACTACAATCTGTGGTACTCTTTACCTATAAGACAACAAGCATTGTAGTGTGTAGGTGTACATGTTACATGTGTATGTATTAATAACATGTACAACAGGTCTGCTGACACAGATGTCATTAGCTGGACACACTTAATTATTTTTCATTACTGATACCATTTACCAATACAAACATAAACCAAGTTAAAAAACAAAGCTTTCTAAATAATTGTCATCCCAATAAAAGTGGGGTTTTTTTTTAAACTGAAATAGTGAGCCATTTATTATCAGATAAACCTACATAATTTCAAATGAATAATATTCTCCACTTTAATCACAATGAAATACCAAAATGTAGGAGGTGTGTGGTGCTAGATTATTTTTCTCTCCTCTTACCCTATATTCAGGAAGAACTCCATATACAATTTTAATTCAGGAACAAGGAACTTCTCATATGATCAAGCTTAGTATAATACTCCCTAACTTCGGCTTAAGTGATGTTGTGACTCTACAATGTTGCACAGTAAAATGTCAAGTAAATAAATATAGTTTTTACCTGGTAATACAAGATGTACATACAATACAGCATTCATTAAGTTACCTTATATATGTTCATGTTTAATTAAATTAGTTTATATAGATTTATGTGAATGTGTACAATTAATTTATATATCCATGTAAAATTAAATAATCTATTTACATATTCATGTAAAATTGTACAACCTATTTACATATTCATGTAAAATTGTACAATCTATTTACATATTCATGTCAAGTTTTGTAATTAATTTACATGTTCATGAGAAACTATACAATTAATTTACAATTTCACATGAAACTGTAAAATGATTTAACATACTTTATATGTAAAATTGTATACATTTATTTAGATATACATTTTGTACTTAATTAGTATCATTAACTCTCATGTAGAGGAGGAAGTTCAAAAAATTCCACAAAAATAGAATCTTTGCACTACATCAAAAAATAAAACACTATATGCATCTACAAAATGGCCTACTACATCAGTTCTACCACAGCTACTGACAGCAGGACTTGTAAGTAGAATTTAAAACAAAAGGCTTTATTGGTAAATTCTCTTGGTGGCAAAGGACCTCAGTTAATGTACCTCATAAAGCTGATCAGTATTGTTGCACACAGGTAAAGGTTTTGAGGTTATAAATAACTGATTGGAGACATTTTTTATTAAACATTAATTTACTTATTTTATGTGCATATACATATACCTGTAGGTTACAACACATGTTAAATGTACGGGTTTTAGAAAAAATCTTATCAGCACATGTACAGATGACAATTATACTAAAAACTGAAATATTAATTACAAATTACTTTGGAATAGCCTATACATGTACTAACAAAAAACATTGTATAGCAAGAAATTCAGTGAGTTGTTTAGTGGTATTTTTATCTCATTTGGTAACTGGAGAGAATAATTTTAAAATTCGAGTAAACAACCTAAATGAAGTGTAGACTATTTTCCAAGCAGATTAATTGTTGGTTCAAGTGTTGAATTTTCAGTTATATTTATCTCTTTGCCAAACATACAGCTGGCTAGGGCTATTGCAGATATGAATAAACTTGTTAAATGGGTCTCCAGAAAAAAGAAAATTGTAGGTGGTGGTGTGGGGTCATTAAAAAACCCACCTCCCCCTTCTAATTCCCCCATAATAATTCGTCTATTTTTTTATTTCTGGAAAACATTACAAAAATAGTCTCTTACATAGAACTAAATAAATGTAACCAAAAGTGGTCGGAGCTACAAAAAACTGCCTCCTTGCCCCTTATGTGTAAATTTCTAGAAAATCCCTAACTAGAAAAGTTTATCAGATAAGACAAAATATAACTGTAAGTGGTTGGGGTCACACAAATGTGCCTCCCTGCTGCCCTTCTTCCCAGTTATATTATAACTTCTGGAATAACCCTTACTAGAAAAGTCTCTTTTATAAAACTCAAAAAAGTAGGTGTGGAGTCACAATGTAGGGTCACTTATTTCAGAAGACACTCATAAACAAATTTGAGCAAATTATGAACAAAATATGACCTGGCTAAGGTGCACTGCTAGATAGAGTATGTTTCTGGTATGACACACAAACAACTGATCATTTCAACAAAAACATTATCCACAGTGAAAACTTTTAACTTCAAAAAATATTTAACAAAATCTCATTATAAGCACTCCAAGTTTATAAATCACAAAATGTATATGACAAACTATAAATTAAAACTACAGCATGTATAAATCAGTTTGGTGTTGTTGATGAAGGGACATATATCTGATCCTTCTACCACTAAACATCCATTTAAACCTGTCTACCAAGAGTTCAACCTCATCAAACACATCCAACCTAGAAGTAAGGGCACTGGTAAATATACGTAAAATTTGCACAAAATCTTTGTTGAGTAAAATGTGTGATATAATAAGTGCAATCAACATAAACTCTTTCACGCCTTGTTTTACTGGCAACATATCAGAATTCTATCAGACATACAACTTCACATGTAAAAATTAATTTGGTGATATATATGACAAATAGGGATAAAATGGACACAAAAATTACAAAAAGGATTTTTCTCAAATTGTGAGGAAAAAGAAGTGACTATTTTTGCAAATGTTCATAATGATGAAAATGACACATTGGAACTTTTTCAAGTAACTTTGCTTTACAAAAATATTTTCAAATAAATAACGGCACATCCAAGAATATGTCTTGATATTTTGAAAGAAGTCTTTGGAGTTCCTTATAGTCATTTGTAAAGTTGAATGAAACATTGATGTTCAACAACGACAGTATACAATATAGCACCAAAGACAGACATGGTGGCAGTTTCTACAAAAATAACATTCTAACAAGGTGCAGGTCACATATATAGGGACTAGATCAGGTCGATGGAACCATATATAAACCACACAAACAGGCTATGCCTGTACATATGTAATTGTAGGGTTTGAGCTTTCTCTCTCAGATTTCTAGGAGAAAACCAGTATTATATTTTTTTTTATCTCTGTTGACGTCAATTATCCATCCGAGAAAAGAGTGATATTGATCAATGACATACCTCCTTTAAAATCAAAGCCATGTGCTAACTAAACACAAAAAGTCAAGGTTCTTTGACATTGATACATTCCTCATATTTACTTTTCTGCACAGAACCAAAGAACTTTTCTAGCAGTTTTTTTTAGTTCTTTCTTGCAACTTTCCAGGTCCAATCTTTGGAAAAAGTAGCTGAAATTTTCTGTTTTTATTCAAGGATAAGTAATGTTACATAGATTAAAATTGATACCAATTACAACAGATTTAAAACAATTTATGAAGTTTTTATGATAAATTCATATCAACATAACATTTTGAAACAGTCTTTCAAAGAAGGGAATACAAAACTGTTCACAGAATATTGGGTAAATTCTAGCACTATTCCAGGAAACACTAATTCACAATCCTTTTCAAGCACTGGCCTCAATTATAGCACTTTTCATGCCTTTTATGAACCATGTTATATCAACACGAAGTAAACAAATTCTGTTGGAGACTTGGTATTGACCCATTACTATCACTTTCTCAGGTCTGTATCACGTTTTATCATCTGTCATGTGATACCAAACACACCCAATCACTACCAAGGAAAATATTATGGAAAATGTTCAACATTTTTTTACAGCTTTAAAGTCATTAATAAACCCCATGTGTGGAATCTATTTTAATGGACAAAAAAATCCTACTACCATTTTTTAATACTAAAAAATTCATTATTGATACCTATTTCTAAATATTAATATCTGTTTTCGTTTCTCTTCCTTTGCACATTTCCCCTGAAGATGGAACAACATTAACCACCTGTACACATCACACTTTACAAAGGAAATGAAAGTGAATGAGCACAATGACTACAGGTCAGGCAAGATTTAATAAAATGCTACGAAACAGTTCACCAGAAAACCAGGTCTGTTCCTACATATGAATTACTTAATTAAACACCCGATTCAAACTTTTTGTCCACTTTTAAACAAACTGACTAATGTCTAATGATGATGTTTGACAGTACAAGCTTTGAAGTTCCCATTACTAATTTGCACGAAAAAAACAAATTGTTGCCAATATTGCTTTCACTGATGACAAACAGGGCCCGTGGTATTTCCCTTTATGAAATATGCATGTTGCATTGGGCAATAACATTTTGGTGAGTTAGTTACCCAGCTCTGCTCTGAAATGTCCCAATCCGTTTTCATTTTTCAAAATCACCTAATCAGCTTACATCATAAATACAATGTACTTCACATCCGACGGATCTGCTACCAAGTATGTCTTTCATTAAGAGTCCTTGTTAAATTAAATATGTTCTATGTATCTGTAAGTATAATGATTATGTTATTAAGTAGATCAATTTTCACTGGACACAATGGACCAAAAAATCCCATATCATAACTAGAAAATAAGTTCCTCTGAATGTACAGGGATTTCAATGTGTATTGAAGAAATGTTCAGTTTTTAGTCTAATATTCACAAAAATTCAAGACTTTAATATTTTCATTCAATAATCGTAATATAATATTTAAAATGGACTATTACCAGTGACTTAATTCTAAAACAGGTTATATAAGTAGTTATGTTTTTTCCTACTAAATAAGTTACTTTTCAAGTTTAACAGTACCAATGACTCACCGAACAAATATTACAGACTGAATCTTTCAATGATTTGTTTTAGCTAAAATGCTACGCAACAAATAATGATCCATTTATAAGAAAAAAATCTTAAATAAATAAAAAATCTTCAAAAAAAAATGGTCAAATTAATGATATAAACCCCAGCCCATGCATGCATGCAAATGTAGTGAAAAATTGAGCAAAAATTGAATAGCAGGTACATGTGCAAAATAATTAAATTCCTACTTGTGTTTTTTGACAAATTCTGCTATATAACTGATCTTGATCCTTTTATCCAGCATCTTACATGCATACCCAGATTTAACTCTAGACTCTGTTCAGTCATTCACCCCTGAAGACACATTTGAACTCTTCCAATTCACAGGCTGGAATAGTTCATTATGAAATTTCAGGGTTGAATGAGTCAATATAAGACTGGTTTCCAACTTATTGAGATTGATTTTAGGGTGATGCTAAAACGTTTAAAAATGTCCTTATTATTTGTGACAACAAACACAAATTAGACATAAATAAGAACCATTTTTTTTGCCATTTAATATATATCTAACACATACACACAAAATTGGTTGCATAAATTCAGGGGCTGTCCAACATGGGAAAAAGATACTCCTTGGTAGAAGAAAATTGTGTATGCAATAAAGGATGCTGGTCAGTATGTGTCTATCAATATGAAAAATATATATGCAATGTTTTAAAACTCATATTATGCATATTTTGAAACGTTGGTCCGAAGGACAGGAATTTTGAGAATGAAAATAAAGATACAACAATAATTTAATTAGACAGGAAAAATCAAGTCCACAAAAGTTCAAATTAAACTACCGGTAAGACAAACGAAGTGGATATGAGTTTAACAAGCGATACAATAACAGGGGTATCTGGAGGGTGAGATTCCAAGGACTTCTGTGTTCACATCATTTCACACTTATAATATATTAATGTACATATTAATTTAACAAATAAAATAAACATAAAAAATCAACAACATTTTTGCACACATTTGCTTTGCATTATAATATCACTCATACAATCGTTTGTTTGAAATCTGTCCCGAGATCACAAATTTAAAGACCGATTAATTAGATTTTTCATCTGCTGGCATTTATTATGCTGACAAAGTGTATTGCATTATCATGGAATGTGTAGAGTGATTGATTCACGTGATTCAGAATCATCCCTCTGTCATTTCCAAGCTGACATTTCTATATACTCTAGGTTAATATACTGCCTTGTTAAAAATCACTAAATCTAAAGATTCATGCTATTTATTGGTTGGAAGGTTATTGGAAAATGTTTTAAAACTTGACATTAAAATGACTTATCAGTTTTAATGCAAATTATGCTTCCTTAAAAAAAGAATGTTTTCTGACGGGAAACAATCAGTAACATTGTTACTCGACTAAAACATTAAATGAGGATAACCAGTATAAAGCACTATGAGTTTCACCTTTCTTGTTGGCACAACAATTATATAATGAAATTTTCAGTTTGAAAAGAAACAGATACAAAACAATTAAATCAAATTGATCTCAGTACCAAAATCAACTCTCTAAAGCCAGACAAACAAACGGATTTAAGATCATTCACCTTCAAAATAACAACAAATGAGGTCAAGCTTCATTAAGTAGGACTATTAAACTTTGGGCTCAAAATCGACAAAGTAAGCCTGTGCCTACTTATTTTGACCTTTGAATCCATAATTGGGTTCAATTGATTAATATAAATGCAGAATAGTGTAAACTCTATTTATCTATTTGAAATATTGCAGTCCTGTTACAGTCATGAATTTTTCTATGAACATTTCAGAGTCGAGAACAGCAATGTGAGCGGCCCTCCCAATGATTGTATTTGCTGTGTTGGTGAGGGCATGAAAGACATCATAACGGATGAGTTTACACTTGGGGTTGTTGACTATCGGTGTCTGGATGTTGGCTACCATCTCACTGTATATAGCACCTGTAGAAATAAATCCACAATAAGTACACTGTATTCCAGTACAACTGATACCATGTTTTACTGAAGTGAGCCCCAGTGTTCTATGATGTATCTCCCATGATGAAAATTTCCAATTTGTAGGGCATTTTGGCTTGCCCATTTATTACAGCAATGAGTTATATATGAAAGAAATATATATATTACAATTTCCTATTTCACAAAAACACATCTTGACTATAGGGATTCAATCCTCTGACCTCTCCATTACCACACAGGGAGCTTGTGACTGTGCTATTGGTCATGTGATATTTGTAATATTATGCTTAATAATTTTCTGCAACATTACTGGGAATAATTTCAAAGAATTCAAACACCTTTTAGATAATCTGTAACATATGACTGTCTTTGTATGAATACGGAGGAAATAACATGAATATAACAGGAAAGTAACTTTCAATACCTGTCCATAATAGAAGTGATGTGAGTATCTACTTCAAATTTGTAATGTATACACAATTGGTAATGTATACACATTACATAGATATTACTGATGAATTTTAGAATAGAGGGAACTGACCTTATTACTTCTAGTCCCCCCCCCCCCCCCCCCCCCATCTATTTTTCATAAAAAAATACTGTATACAGGGAAATCATCGTCCGTTTAAAATTCTTCCCTTCCAAAATCCTGTACTGACAGTTAGCCCACCTCCAGTCAAGTACTGACTACTTACCCATTCCTGAGCTTTCCCTTTGAGCTGCCTTGCACATTTCTATCCTAGAGGAATGGTATGGTACATAGCGATCCTGAGAAGATCCCACCAGGAGTACATGGCGGAACATTTCCAAACCTGAAAAACCAAATAATAAATCTATCATTTTAAGGGTTTATACATTGTATCAACACCTTAGTTTGATTTTTGTTCTTAATTTCAGATGATGTTGTTCAAATTGAAAATAGTAGTAGGTAAATGTCATGGACATTCAAAGGACTGTGATCAGTGACAAGTCATTTATACTCTTAATGACACAATGGATGAACAAATCCTAACTTTCATAAGTATTGTTGGTGTTGTTGCTCATCATTTCTATTTTCATTTTCATAAGTATTGTAAGATACCAATATTTTTAATGTATTGAATCAACCACAAAGTTCTGCAACATATTGATAACTCAACATATATTGTAATGACCTATGGCTCCTGCAATATTAACAGAAATGACTCTTTATTTCAATTTGCAAGACCTTTTCAGAACTACAAGGGGTTTTAAAAGACTTCCATAAAAAGATTTTTCAAGGGTTTCATCAAAATGAAACACCAAAGGCTGGTGAGAACTTTCATCATATCTTCATGTGTTGTTTTTAAAAATACTGATAATATCATTTTTCAGCGCTTTTTAAGAAATACCTTGTTTTCCAGAAATTTTTAAGTTAAGTACAAAAAGTGAAAATTTACATTTGTATTTCTTACATTTGTTTCTTTGTACCTGCTCTTTGGAAAAAGTTACATTAGCAATCAATCCAAGTGTGAACATTATTGTAGCAGAAGGCAGAAAAAAAAATCAAATATCTGCTGGATTTTGTGTACACCCTTGCAGATGAAAGCAAACGTTATATGATATGAATTTACTTAAATGTAGTTGTTTGTGTACAACTGTACAGCAGGGTAAGGACTTACCAGCTTTTTGACTGAGTTTGTACAGGAATGATTGACGGGGGTCACTGTGGTCTTTAAGGGAAAGTTGCAGCAAGGATCCTGACTTCTTCCACTTCTGCATAAACCACATCCCTGGTAGCATAGACAGGAAAAGTATGATCACACATTTTCTTGTTTTACCATCATACATAAGCAGAAATATTACAATGTAGTTCTGTAACTTAATATTTCAGTATATCCTAGTTATTCATGCATAAGTAGTGTGAAAAAATCCGATATTTTTCTAAATACCAAGTTATTACTGGTAAATATATATATATATATATTTACAATTGCCACTGTTTCTGAATCGATAACCAAAGTGTAAGCAAGTCTGTTTATTTCACAATAACTAGAGTGTAGAACATGACACAGTTCACTGCGTATGAATATATGTAAATATTGGCAAACTTCTTTCCGCAAACCTCATGTCAATGTTTAAAAACAAACGCTAGCATTTACAGTCGGTAAACGCAAACAAAACAAAATAAAAGGTTAATCCTTAAATATATACAGTCCATGGCAGTGCCAAGAGAGGGACAATAAATACTGTTGTACAGTGTCCCAAAATGTACTTACCCATGTTTACTAGGCCACTACTGTTGTACAGTGTCCCAAAATGTACTATCCCATGTTTACTAGGCCACTACTGTTGTACAGCTGCTGTACAGTGTCCCAAAATGTACCAACCCATGTTTACTAGGCCACTACTGTTACAGTCCATGGCAGTGCCAAGAGAGGGACAATAAATACGGTTGTACAGTGTCCCAAAATGTACTATCCCATGTTTACTAGGCCACTACTGTTGTACAGTGTCCCAAGGTGGGGCCCAGAGAGGGACAAAAATGTACTTACTCATGTTTACTAGGCCACTGCAGTTGTACAGTGTCCCAAAATGTACTTACCCATGTTTACTAGGCCACTACTGCTGTACAGTGTCCCAAGGTGGGGCCCAGAGAGGACAAAAATGTACTTACCCATGTTTATTAGGCCACTACTGTTCTACCGTGCCTCAAGGTGGGGCCCAGAGCGGGACAAAAATGTACTTACCCATGTTACCTTACCCGGCCACTACTGTTGTACTTACTAGGCCACTACTGCTATACAGTGTCCCAAAATGTACTAACCAATGTTTACGAGGCCACTACTGCTGTATAGTGTCCCAAAATGTACTAACCCATGGTTACTAGGCCACTACTGTTGTTCTTTGTCCCGAGGTGGGGCCCAGAGAGGGACAAAACTGTACTTACTCATGTTTACTACGCCACTACTGTTGTACATGGTCCCAAGGATGGGCCCAGAGAGTGACAAAAATGTACTTACCCATGTTACCTTACCCGGCCACTACTGTTGTACATTGTACCAAGGATGGGCCCAGAGAGGGACAAAAATGTACTTACCCATGTTACATTACCAGGCCACTACTGTTGTACAGTGTCCAAAAATGTATTTACCTATGTTTACTAGGCCACTACTGTTGTACTTTGTCCCGAGGTGGGGCCCAGAGAGGGACAAAAATGTACTTACCCATGTTTACTAGGCCACTACTGTTGTACATTGTCCCAAGGATGTGCCCAGAGAGGGACAAAAATGTACTTACCCATGTTTATTAGGCCACTACTGTTGTACATTGTTCCAAGGATGGGCCCAGATAGGGACAAAAATGTACTTACCCATGTTTACTAGGCCACTACTGTTGTACAGTGTCCCAATGATGTGCCCATAGAGGGACAAAAATGTACTTACCCATGTTTATTAGGCAACTACTGTTGTACATTGTCCCAAGGATGGGCCCAGAGAGGGACAAAAATGTACTTACCCATGTTTACTAGGCCACTACAGTTGTACAGTGTCCCAAGGTGGGGCCAAGAGAGGGACAAAAATGTACTTACCCATGTTTATTAGGCTACTACTGTTGTACATTGTCCCAAGGTGGGGCCCAGAGAGGGACAAAAATGTACTTACCCATGTTTACTAGGCCACTACTGTTGTACAGTGTCCCAAAATGTACTAACCCATGTTTACTAGGCCACTACTGTTGTAAAGTATCCCAAAATGTACTAACCCATGTTTACTAGGCCACTACTGCTGTACAGTGTCCCAAGGTGGGGCCCAGAGAGGGACAAAAATGTACTTACCAATGTTTACTAGGCCACTACTGTTGTACAGTGTCCCAAGGAGGGGCCCAGAGAGGGACAAAAATGTACTTAACCATGTTTATTAGGCTACTACTGTTGTACATTGTCCCAAGGATGGGCCCAGAGAGTGACAAACATGTACTTACCCATGTTTACTAGGCCACTACTGTTGTACAGTGTACCAAGGTGGGGCCCAGAGAGGGACAAAAATGTACTTATCCATGTTTACTAGGCCACTACTGTTGTACAGTGTCCGAAGGTGGGGCCCAGAGAGGGACAAAAATGTACTTACCCATGTTTATTAGGCTACTACTGTTGTACATTGTCCCAAGGATGGGCCCAGAGAGGGACAAAAATGTACTTACCCATGTTTATTAGGCTACTACTGTTGTACATTGTCCCAAGGATGGGCACAGAGAGGGACAAAAATGTACTTACCCATGTTTATTAGGCTACTATTGTTGTACATTGTCCCAAGGATGGGCCCAGAGAGGGACAAGCATGTACTTACCCATGTTTACTAGGCCACTACTGTTGTACAGGGTCCCAAGGTGGGGCCCAGAGAGGGACAAAAATGTACTTAACCATGTTTATTAGGCTGCTATTGTTGTACATTGTCCCAAGGATGGGCCCAGAGAGGGACAAACATGTACTTACCCATGTTTACTAGGCCACTACTGTTGTACATTGTCCCAAGGATGGGACCAGAGAGGGACAAACATGTACTTCCCCATGTTTCCTAGGCCACTACTGTTGTACAGTGTCCCAGGGTGGGGCCCAGAGAGGGACAAACATGTACTTAACCATGTTTATTAGGCTGCTATTGTTGTACATTGTGCCAAGGATGGGCCCAGAGAGGGACAAAAATGAACTTACTCATGTTTACTAGGCCACTACTGATGCACAGTGTCCCAAGGTGGGGCCCAGAGAGGGACAAAAATGTGTGAAGTTTAGGCACCAGGTGGGCCAGCTTGGGCCGTGACACCACAGATCTCACAATGATGTTACCCAGGGAATGGCCCACAAAGCTGCAACACATATACAACATAAAACCTTTTTATAACAAATAACATTTTAACCCACTGCTGAAATTCCTATGATGCAGGATGAATAAAAAGAAAATCTTCATTCAGCAGGTTTTATTTAACATTGATAAGAAAACATAACTGTATTGAAAATAGCAATTGGAATAATGGAAGGTATTTAAGACCACCATTGAGTGACTGTAAAGGAAATAGAAGATGGATCATTGCCACAGATGGAATATCAATTGTTGTAAGATTAACCACCAGATACCAATGTTTTAAAACAACATATATATTCTGACAATTTAACTCACTATTAGTGCATTTCATAAAAAGTCAGATTGGATTGGCCCTACATACTCTGAAAATAAGTCTTAATATCTAAAATAGCGACAGTCCATTGTCCAACATATCATGATCAGATGTCCAATGATTAAAAATTGTTTCATACTTGATGCGACTGAAGTTTTTCCACTGTATGACCAACTAGACAAAAGAGAATGTATCTGGCGTATTTCCAGTAGCAATGGAAACATACCTGACTTTAGAAGGGTTGATACCGTACAGATCTAGGAATGATAATATCTCCGACTCCAGGCGATCAGTCATCAAATCAAAGTCGGCAAACGTATCCTGTAAACAGTAATGATAAACAGTGATAAATACCGTCTACTGGTATTTCTATCACAACCCATACATTTCTCTTTCATTGAGAGTCAAATTGTTAGTAAGAAGTTAGAGAAATATCTCACAGGAGAATCTTGATAAACACAACTTTCTTATATATTGACAATTGATTTTTAGTCCAAAAGTCAAATAACCTGACAGGTGAATATTTCAGAGATGGCTTGCATGAAAACATGACACATACAAAAATGTACTTTCCTTACTGGAAATTAATTCATTTTCAGACAAAAATTTCATAGACTTCATCTTTCAGCACTTTTGTTACAATACCTGATTCCGTTCAGACATGAGGAACTCAATCCTATAACCTGGCAGAGCCATCTCAACATACGTCCGCACAAGTCGCAAGTCAGCACTGTTACCTGTTGTAAGGACGATCAAGTGTTTTACATACATACATCAGTCAATATGATATAACCTTAGAGTATTGTATGGTAAATGTAACAAGCTCAGTTTTGACAGTCTCTTGTATGATGCCTTAATCCATCTACCACTTATCCTGTTGTCCCGCTATATCTCACCTCTTTAATCCACTTATCACCTGTCCAGTTGTCCCTCTTTATCAAGCCTTGCTAATCCAGCTACCTCTACTTCAGTTGTTCCATTATCCAGCCTCTTTAATCCACTAACCACTAATCCTGTTGTCCCGCTATATCCAGCGTCTTTAATCCCCTAACCACTAACCCTGTTGTCCCACTATATCCAGCCTCTTTAATCCACTAACCACTAACCCTGTTGTCCTGCTATATCCAGCCTCTTTAATTCACTAACCACTTACCCTGTTGTCCCGCTATATCCAGCGTCTTTAATCCCCTAACCACTAACCCTGTTGTCCCACTATATCCAGCCTCTTTAATCCACTAACCACTAACCCTGTTGTCCTGCTATATCCAGCCTCTTAAATCCACTAACCACTAACCCTGTTGTCCCGCTAAATCCAGCCTCTTTTAATCCACTAACCACTAACCCTGTTGTCCTGCTATATCCAGCCTCTTTAATTCACTAACCACTTACCCTGTTGTCCCGCTATATCCAGCGTCTTTAATCCCCTAACCACTAACCCTGTTGTCCCACTATATCCAGCCTCTTTAATCCACTAACCACTAACCCTGTTGTCCTGCTATTTCCAGCCTCTTTAATCCACTTATCACCTATCCAGTTGTCCCTCTTTATCAAGCCTTGCTAATCCAGCTACCTCTACTCCAGTTGTTCAGCTATCCATCCTCTTTAATCCACTAACCACTAATCCTGTTGTCCCGCTATATCCAGCCTCTTTAATCCACTAACCACTAACCCTGTTGTCCTGCTATATCAAGCCTCTTTAATCCACTTATCACCTATCCAGTTGTCCCTCTGTATCAAGCCTTGCTAATCCAGCTACCTCTACTCCAGTTGTTTAACTAGCCATCCTCTTTAATCCAGGCACCACTATACACTCAGAGTTCCAACATCTAGCTTTGTAATCCACTAAACTGGTTATCTCATTGGAATCTCCAGCCTCTTTATTTGGCTATCACTAATCCAATTGTCTCACTGTTCAGTCTCTTTAATCCAGCCACCACTAATCTGTTTGTCCCACTATATCTACCCTTCTTAATCTGACTACAATTAATCTGGTTAACCAACTACCTAGACTCCCTAATCAAGCTACCACTTATTATATAATCTGGTTAACCAACTACCTAGACTCCCTAATCAAGCTACCACTAAATATATAATCTGGTTAATCAACTACCTAGACTCCCTAATCAAGCTACCACTAATTATATAATCTGGTAATCCAACTACCCAGCTTTGTTAATCCACTTGTCCCGCTAACTAGCCTCAATCAGCCACCACTAAAACAGCCGTCTCACAATGCAGACTTTTTATCTAGCTGCATTAGTCCCGTTGCTCCATCATATAATTATTCAGCCAGTGTTTTGAGAACTGATTGGCATTTTTCTACATGAAATAGTCTCGGCTATACCTCCAGATGTATCACAACCTAGCCAGTTTTGCTGAGAATGAACTGAGCTGACTTTATTATCACGGCTCTACTGTTTAATATTTTCATGGTGAGAATCTCAATACTAGAATGTTTAATTTGACTTCCCGAGAATGAGCTTATAATGAAAGTTCCAGAGAAATGAAAACTTACCGTCCAGGCCGTGAACACACACCACCAAGTGTACTCCTTCCCCAAAGTCCACATCATCCGGCGTGTGGAAGTATGGAATGGTGGAAGCCAGCGTGGAAGCCTCGCTGTAAACCAATGCACCTTGATTGATAAAACTTCACAAACTTTTGTTTATTTTAAAATAGTGGTAACACCAAAAGTACCTTTCCCACTCCCCATTTTTCAAGCACAGATATAACACTGAATTGGAAGCAGATTACATTTTCACCAAGGGCTTTCCGAAGGAAAACAAGTACCTAAAACTATGTTACCTCCCAAGGTAAGACTCTGTTAAGAGGTCAAAAATACAAGAATTCAAAATCACCCCTACCAGCACACTAGCTAGGGATCAAACACTGTTAAACGTTCATGTGAAGTTTTAACATATTTGACCGCTGTGACCTTGAAAGTAGGTCAAGGTCATGATAATGAGGAAACTTTATAGCACTACATACCAGGTACCTACTGGCCAAATATCATGACCCTGGGCCTTATGGAACTTGAGAAGAAGATTGTTAAAGCTTTTAACCTGAAGTTGACCCGACTAGCATTTAAAGTTGACCTTTGACCTTATCACTGTAATTGAGAAAAATATTTGCACTGCTGGTCTTCATAACATACCCAAGTATCATGACTCTAGTTCAAATGGTTCTTAGGATATTGTTGTTTGAAATTTTCACATATTGACCGCTGTGACCTTGAAAGTAGGTCAAGGTCATTTTAATGAAGAAACTTTACATCACTACATCCCATGTACCTACTGGCCAAATATCATGACCCTGGGTCCTACAGTTCTTCTTCAGAAGTCGTTCAAAAGAAAATGTTGACGGCCGGACGACAGACGGACGACGGACACCGTAGTACAGCATAAGCTCATATGGCCCTTTGGGCCAGGTGAGCTAAAAATATATCACTTCAATCTTCAACAAAAGTTCAGAGGGACATTCTGGTGAACTCCATCATAAGGGATTATACTAACAATGTATCTAATTGTTCCAAAATGTCCCATTCCTACCCCCTCACTTCCCCTTTAAATCAATATTCAGCCTTCAGTTTGCATAATGACATGCACATCATAGCTGCAGCCTGCTTGATGACGCAGAAAAAAGTAACAAGGCAACATGTCTGATCATTCATTTGCAAGTGCAAAGTAACAACCCAAATTAAATATTGAATTATAAACTGGCTAGTTGCCTAATATTAAATCTGTCAGGCAAAAATGCATTTTGTTACATTTGATGTGGTACAGGTTGTAAAATAGATATAATTAACAAATATATGTATGTATATTATATTGGACAATATAACTTCAAAAATGTTGTATAAAAATATTAATGGAGACTACTATATACCAGGAACTGTCTGTTCACCATAGTTCAATTTTTGCTTCTTTTGCCCGAAAAAGTAAGGACGAATTTATCACAACAGCTAATATAAGTTCAAAACATCACATAATTATATATATTATAGAGCTATTACATGTGAAGGATGACATAAATATTAGGCAAAAAAAAGGAATTTTACTGGTGAAGGGTGGATATTTGTTAAAATTGTTTCCCTGTATACAGGCTAGGTAACATATGCTGTTCTATGGATTAGTTGTATGTTGTAACCTACCTGTACATCTCTCCCTCAAACTTCAGCTGTTTTTTAAGAGATTCTCTTAAACTTATAAAACTGCAAAATAAGATACATTATCAATATTATCAAACAATTATTCCTCAAATTAATGACTGGAATTATTAATGTCTTTATATATTTCTCATTTTTAATAATAAGTATTTCATACTGTAGAAGATGCAAGCAAAACTTGACCTTTCTTTCATAAAAGAGTTGTGTTCATTATTGTTATCTCTTTGCACATCTGATGTCATATTTGAAACTTTATACAAACAAGCAAATTCGTGGAATTTATATCCCCCCCTTGCAGGACATATTGTAGGTTAACATTATTGAGGTTAGGTTTAAACATGTGAGTATCGTGCTGTTGAGAAATAACCGATAGCTTGACACTTGAAGAAAAAAAAAACTATACCTCATTGAATATCCGTAAATATGCACAAATCACATCAGTTGGCAAACTTAGCATGAGTCAGATGTGCATACGGAATTTGGTTGGAACATCTGAACAATATCTACAGCAATTATCATACGAAAACCAAAGAGTATGCGAAATGGTTGGAAAGACAGAGGAACACAAACATTGCTATCAAGTCTGAAGGAATTTTGCTAATATTTGCTAGAGTTATTAAGCTGAAACTGAAGATAACAATGTTTTTCGTTAATCAAGGGGCCATAACTCCGCCAAATGGAGTCAGATTAAAGTGGTTGTCAAACTTGGCCAAGCCCTTAATGCATTGAGCCCTGTTACTAAGTTTGAAGACAATCGGATAATATTTGCGGGAGTTAATTAACAGAAACGGCAGATAATGTTTTTCGTTACTCAAGGGGCCATAACCTCTGCCAAATGGGGTCCGCTGAAAGTGGTCATCGAACTTGGCCATGCCCTTAAAGCATTTAACCCTGTGACCATGTTTGAAGGAAATTGTTTAACATTTGTTGTAGTTATTGCACGGAAACGAAACGTAGCAGATAATGATGTTTTGATTATTCAAGGGGCCATAACTCCGCCAAATGGGGTCAGCCGAAAATGGTCATGAAACTTTGCCGAGCCCTTAAGGCATTTAAACCTGTGACCAAGTTTGAAGAAAATCGGTTAACTTTCGGAGAAAGCTGGGGATAATTAATATGCAGGCTATTTTACCGGTATAAGGTAGATGTCAAATAATGAACGTAATATAACAATTTTAAGGATGTGTCATTTATATAATAATTTCATTTTTAATCATACATGTAACATACTGTTCTAAAAAAACCTAGAGATTTAATTTTGAGAACAAAATAGTGTTAAAGTTACAGCCCCGACAATATATTTTGACAACTTTGCATTTATTTGACCTTTGACCTCAGGTCAAGGTCACAGTGACCTAACGACAGTGCACTGTACATTCTCTGTGGGTGATGCAGATATACTGCAAGTTTTATCAGGATATGTTTAACTTAGCACTTATTTGACTTTATTATTTGAGGAACTGCCTACTGCTAAATTATGCAATGCTTATATGAACAAGCTCTTATTGTAATTGGGACCATGACAGGAGTCCTCATAACTGACCTTATAGTCACAAATGATGCTTGGATAGAGTTGACAATGCCTTAATATACTTGCATACTAAGGTTAAGCAAAATTAGACACAATGAGGGACCATTGGCATCCCCTTGGCATATAACTTTACATGTTTGAAACAATCAGACTTTTTTACCTTTTACCTTGAGTTAAAGGCCACAGTGACCTAATGCCTTTGCATTGCACATCATCTGTAGGTGATGCAGTTATACTGCAAGTTTAATCGAGATATCCTTAATGGTTTAAAAGTTACAGGCCGTACAAAATATTCCTGAAAAAATTGCACCTTTTTGACCTTTGACCTTGGAGTCAAGGTCAAAATGACCTAATGACAATTCACTGCATACTGTCTATGGGTGATGCAGGTATACTTCAAATTTCATCAAGATATCTTGGACAGTTAAAAAGTTACAGCCCAGACAAAAATGAACTGAAAATGTTGCACTTATTTGACCTATGACCTTAAAGTGAAAGTCACTGTGATATAATTCTATTGCACTGCAGATCCTCAGTGGGTGATGCAGGTATACTTCAAGTTTCAACAAGATATAACGGTTAAAAAGTTACGGTCTGGACAAGATCATATTAGAAGAACCAGAACCAGAAGAACATTCCAACGGGAACATAATGTGAAACATTATTTTATAAAGGCCTGCAAGTCATTCAAGCATGTGTACAAGAGATGTTTATCATCAAAATGTTAGAGACATATATGCCTGAACCTTTTCAATAATCTGACCCTTTGGAAGACCATTTTTGGAAGAGCATACCTGAGGGTTGAAAATCCCACTTGTGTGACAAGCTTCGGGCGGTCATTGTCTGCATACTTTGAGAGCTCTGGGAAAGAAAATGATGACACGACGGGTCGAGTCACTACCTGGTTAGAGGCAGGCTCTGGTGCCTCACACACAACAGTATCCACAGACCCTGACGATGTTGTCGGCGTTCCAGCACTCTGATGGATGTTTGTGTCGCTGGCTGCTCGCTGTTGATGTTGTGTTGTGGTAGAGAGAGACATACGCTGACTGAGGCGGACAGGGGCACCAGGCCCCATCCCCTTTGCCCCCCCATATTCTGTCCGCTTTGCCCCCCCATATTCTGTCCGCAAAAATTCTATCACAGTCATTTTGTCTTCCCCCAGATCTGACTCCTCGTAGTCCTGCGTGATAATACCACTGTCCTTGGACAGACTAGGTGTGGACCCCTCCTCTGCACCCTCAGAGGAGCGGGTTTGTATACCAAGCTGCTGGGACAGGTCAGGTTGGGGGTTGCCTTCAGATACCTTCCGCGTATCTAGACTTGCACTTTCAAAGGAGTCTTTGTCCTGAGGTATATTTGAGGAATTGTTTTTACTTTCTAAACTACATGGATTTTCTAAAAAGTCATCAAAGCCATTAGCAACACAAGTTTCATCATCACTTTGATCGTCATTGTCTGTTTCATTCGATGTCACATACCAACTTTCACTTTCGTTTAAAGCTTTCGTAATGTCATTAGCTAGACTGGCGAAGGCAGTGCTGTCCAGCGAGGATTTGTTTTTGCCGCCATTCTTGCCTTTAGTTGTGCTTGCTGTAGATTCTATGTGCCCAGTTATAGACATGGTACTGGAGACAGCACTAGATAGTCCGCTATCACTGTCTCCAGTGGAGGGATGACATTTATCACTGTCTCCAGTGGAGGGGTGACATTTATCACTGTCCACTGGGGGAGGGAGAGGTTTATCATAGCTCTGAGGGGTAGGGAGTTGTTTATCATTGTCCCTTGAGGGAGGGAAGGACATATTTTCCCCTTGCAATTGGACAGGCTTAACTGCCAACTCAACCTCTAACTCCTTTTCTTCCCATGCTTGTTGCTTAGATGAAGTAGATAACACAGATGAAACCCCGTGCACTTGCTCATACTGGATGCGACCCCTCATATCAGGGTCAGAATGTACCACCCCTTTAGGAAACAGTTCTGACTTGATCTGTCTTTTCCTGCCATATGGGGTTTTCTCACGGTCCATGTATTCTGGAAGTGAGTTAATGCTAGCACGACTCCAACTTGATTTGGACATCAGTGAGGGCATTGAAAGAGAGTTTGTTAGCAGCATGTTGCCATGGTCCCCAGATGAGTTGGGACTGAAAGTACCAATCACAGATTTGGGGTCAAAGCTGGATGATGAGCTTGTCTCAAATTCCGGGACCTTTTTCCTGTAACCAACAAGTTGACAATCCTTAGCAACCGTTTTCCCTTTTGCTTCAGCCTCGGAGCAGGAGTATGTTGATGGTCGGCGGAAGGCATCAGGTCGGATGTTCTTGATGAATTTCTTTTTGTGCTTGAACTTGAGCTGTGGAGAATCTTGACTGCTACTTCTAGATAAAGGAGGCTCTGTCTTTCTGTAGGACTGCTTTTCAACTTTTTCTCCTTTCTTTGATGAGGCACTGTAGGGTCTATCACGGGCTATATCTGAAAGTACGCAAACAGTCAATGATTAAATCAATAAGTTGGCACTTACTGATTGAATCTAGGTTTTGGTATATGTCTGATTCACTTTACATTTAGTTTTTTGGGCTTTCTTTTTTATCAAGTTCAACAATACAATTTATATTATAGCCTGTAAAAAACATTTAGAAGGTAGAATATAAAAATATGATGGAGTTTAACATTTTTCGGGGGATGAAAACAAGTATTTTGTATATATCATTAACAGATTAAATTGATCAAGTCCCTATATACTGTAAAAGTAAAAATTAGCGCAGTGAGGAAATGCTGGCATTTTTTGTATTACGTATAATTGGATGAAAGTATCCACACACGATTTCATCTAGATATGTGGTTTATATATGTATCATTATAGAGATTTATTTCAGAATCATTGCCAACGTAAATATTTCCACACAGCAATCAGTTTGAAGGGTCATAACACACCAAAATTTCCTCATGCGAGAAATTCCACTTTACCAATACATTTGTACCAGGGTAATGCAAATCACTTCATTTTTGCAAGAGATTATTTTCAGATTATTTGGGAAGAGGATTAAATCCACAATTAGAATATTTCACAAATATTACATCTATATATAACAAGACAAAGTACTGCAAGCAATCCATGGTCCCCTATATACCCCTGGACAAATGTTGGTATCAACAATGTTCAAAGGGCCACAACTCTGTACACTGGCAAAGTGGACATGGGACACATAGAACCAATTGTAGGTTACAAAAGTATCTTTGAGGTATGTCTGAACAAAGTGATGTACAGACTGAAAGAAGGAGCACAAACCTATAGTCCCCTCCAGTAGTGCCTGTTATATCAATATGAAAATATCGTCTTGATCATCATATGAACTCAAGTATTTGCAAAAACTTCGCAAAATATTGTACAAACAATATCAATTGATTTAAAAAGTCCTGTGGAAAGGTAGAGATTTCTATTAATTTCATGTTGTGTTCAATCAAAAATACAAAAACTGTTGTAACTCGGATCATGGTTTATTGATATTTTCTAGATGGAATTTCTTACGACAAAACACAACACACAGAATGCCTAGTACATGCACTGAACAACACAAGTAGCCACATTAAATTTTACACACAGGACCAACGGGGACAGCTGATGAGATTTGCATGTATACAGCTGTATGCATGGGTCTTTAGTAATCTAACAAGATTCCCAATACATGTACATATTCAGCATCAGAGATGACCATGAATCTCCCCTAGACATATATTTCTGAACTCTATAGCCAACATTTATGAAGAGTCAAGCTAGTTTTGGCTAATTACAGTGCATGTGTAAATCAAATATAGCCAAAATGTAGATAAATTGCAGACTTGTAGAGGTTTGGGTGTATGTGAATTGTAGATTTAAGCGTGAAGATAAATTGTAGGTTTGCACATGGTACAGTGGTATGTAAATTGCCTAAATGAATAGGCTAGTGATCAGGCATATAAATCTGTAAAAAATTATGATTAATTTACAACTGAACACAAACAGATATCTTATCAAAAACAAGAGGCCCAGAGGGCCTGTATCGCTCACCTGAATATATGTTTAAAATAATTGGTATGAAGTAAAGATATAGCACTCCATGGTAGGTGCTGTAAGTACATATGAAATTTCAGAAAGATCCATTAAGTACTTGAGATATAGCGAGAACAAACTTCAAACGGAGTCCCACCCCTATGCTCTAAGGGGGTCATACCCACCAATTGTACAAAATTGAGTCCCCTTGACCCAAGGATGCTCCAGACTAAATTAGGATACAATCCCTTAATCCCTATGGTAGAAGAAATATTTTAATTTTTACCTCTATTTCCCTCTCTGCCTCTAGGGGGGTCAGACACACTGTTTATACAAAATTGGTTCCCCTACACCCAAGGGTGCTTAAGGTGGCAATGTATGTGAGGATGCACAAGTGATGGACCAGCATCAGCTTAGGACCATGGTACAGAGGATATGTGTGCAGCTAAATGTAGGTTTAGTAGTTGTAGATACCAAAGATCGTTAGCCTCATGATTACAATGATGCTACTGCCCTGATTAAGTGGTTTCTATGGCCCTTCTCTGTACAAGACATCCGAACACACCACGTCTATTTGATGATCTCGGAAGTGAAGTTAGTTAAAATGACAGCGACCATAACCAGTGCAACTTTGCAAGTCACGGAAAGGTACATAGCTTACTAGTTGGTAACAGCATTAGGCCAATGAGTCATGGAACCCTATGAATGTAGTAGGATTGCAGGACTGTGTGTGAAGGGATAAGGGTACTATGTTGGTTAAATACATATCAAACCTGGTATGTCCATTTCATCAGCTGCTGTTACTGAGGGGTCAAGGGTCACGAAACATGCAGGATCACACAGGTCAAAAAACATCAACTTACAACAGGCATATATTCACAAATCTTAAGCAGGCACAAAAAATCACAAAGTCATTGTAATTGAAGATACTGTGAAAACTTGTGAAACTTGCCCACAATTCTGGTCAAAATTGAATTTCATAGGCAGCGGTGCGCAAATTGTGTAAATTTAGATTTGTCCCCCCCCCCCCCCAGAAATCTGAACAATAAGGAAGGTCTGCCATTTTGGAAAGACCAAAGTTCTCACTGTCATTTTGGACTAAACAACAAATATATGTGTTATGTGTTGGAATATTATAAAGTGACATGATTTATGAATATGTTATAAGAGGTGTCAGTGCTCTAATGAATCATTATTAAAGGTCCAGCACTTTTAATGAATTACATATACGGTACCCTATTTGTCCTGGTATGAAGCTTATATACTTGGCTCATTTTGCCATGAGATAGCTTTAGATTAGCTATAGGTTTTGCCACTGCAGTAAAAACATTAAGGTTTCTTTATCTCACTGCCAAGCTAAATACCCCATTTATTTTTTTCTAATATCATACTGAAAATTGGCATCCATCACTGTATCAGGTGATGATATTCCATGGCTACCGATATAGAACTGATGTTCTAATTAATCTCACAATCAGAAACAACGTTATGGCTTTCAGAAACTAAAACATATAAGAGGTCCTAGAGGGATCTTGGCCCCCATCATTCCTCCAGTACTTTCTGGGAAATAGCTATAACAAACATGAATTCTTAAAACTCAAGATTGCCGACAGATGCATCTTTAGAGGCCATGAGGAACCTTCAGGTTTAATTTGAGATCCCTCAAAAACTTTCTAAGAAAACTTTGAAAACTTTAATTATCAAAACTAGAACACTGACAGGTCAGTAAGGGCCCCGTCTTGTGGCAATATATCCCCCATAATCATCAAGAAGCAATCTGCCCATATAGCTGAGCTTGACGTTTGACATTTGGACTTCAAAAAGAATCGCAAGGAAGAAAAATATACATTTTACATGTACTATGATGCGAGTCTTGTTTCCTTCCACCTCCATATTTGCTAGGCTAACAGAAATGTAAATTCCGGTGCAATACTTATTTGTTAGCTTTGATTTGTTTTATTTCACCTGATATACCTCCTACATCAAGAGCCAGGGTCAAAGTCAGAGATCCACTTTGTCTTTGACCTTTGGACCCAAATGACCTTGACCACTAATCTTGTGACCCTGAACTTTGGTCAGTTGACTTATTCTTTAATTACGACCAACTTTGCTTCTTGATATCATAACAAATTGTTCATCAGTGAAAAATACAAAACTTGACCTTGACCCTTTGGACCCCATAACCTGGACCTAAGGTCAGTTGACTCGGTGTTAAGTTCTGAACACCTTTGCTTCATAAAGTCATAACAAAATGTTCATCAGGGAAAAATACAAAACTTGACCTTGACCTTTGAATCTAATGACCTTGACCTTTGGTCAGTTGACTTATTCTTTAATTACGACCAACTTTGCTTCTTGATATCATAACAAATTGTTCATCAGTGAAAATTTGACCTTGACCCCTGACCCGACGACCTTGACCTTTGGTCAGTTGACTTATTCTTTAATTACGACCAACTTTGCTTCTTGATATCATAACAAATTGTTCATCAGGGAAAAGGTACAAAATTTAACCTTGACCTTTGACCTTGATTTTTTGCCTCAATGTGTATTTTTGTGAACTGAACATCTTGACCAAGTTTCATGTACATCGGTCAATAAATACCAAAGGGATCAGCCAGGAACAGAATTTGTGGACGGACAGACAGACAGACAGAGGGATTACTATAGGGCACCCGTATCTCCGATACGGGGCCCTAATTAAAGATGGCCACCTGTCGGCCATTTTGTTTTTCTGATCAGTACCAAACTTTGATAAGTATAACTTAGTACCATTGTAAACCTTCATATGAAATTTGAGAAAAATCCCTCCAGTACTTCCTGAAAATAGTGCTAACAAGAATTGTTTCAGAATTGATGGACAGAATGACAGACCACTGACCTTGTATGAAGGGTGATTTGAATAAATTTGATAAATCTACAGGGGGTAGATCAGAACGTCTTATGCTATTTGTCACAGGAGAATAATACAATATTCATCAATGACAAATCCAAATTCCAGAAATTTATAACCGGAGGCAAGCTTTGACCTTCTGTTAAAATAAATCAGTCATGATATTGTGAGTTTGTTACATTTGTATAATATTGTACCATATTCACTGTAAATGCCAAGGTACTGGTTTACGGGGCACTATTTTTAAAGTATTGAAAGTAAAATATTTTGATGCTCCACATGCAATGGACAATTATATCAATCAAGTTACAGCATCTGAGATATTTTTTAACTTGTTTAGTATACAGTATTGTCAGTATTTGAGTTGTTAAAGAATATTTGATACTTGACAAAAATTAACTGATGTTCCTAATAATGGTCAATAAAAAAAAAAATCAATCCTGATCCCAAGCTAGATGTTAAGAGGGCCCAGAAATAGAGGAAGAAATCAACATGAACAGTTCTTTTAACCACCAAAAAAGGTAGGGAAAGGCACTCATTATGGCAAATATGGTATCTGTGACAGCTAAGAAATTTAGGTTGAATACAAATTGGGAACACAACATGCAGATGAGAGTAAAATCAAAACACACATTCAGACAATGTTTGTAAATATAGTGTTGACCGAGCTGGCTACTTACCACCACCTACACCCTTTTGTTGGGCCCCATTTACACTTTTGTAGGGGTTGATTGTTTGAAACAGTTCCAATAGAGCCTTCTTTTGGGTTCGCTCTGTGGGTTGGTGATGAAAACAGCACACAAAATTACCTCTGACTTAAAAACTTGCAATAACACTAACCATGTGTGGAAATATATCATTTGGATCTTAAAATTAGTTGGCTCCGTGCATTGATATTTTCGTGGATTATCAGTCAAAACACTATTGAAAAAGAAACACAATTATTCGTCAAATGACTGCAATAAATAAAAAAAAATACCCATTTTCTTTTTGGACTAAAAAAATACTCTGGGTTACCTCAACTGAATAGTTTCTTTTACTTTTAAATAAGTTTGTTAAACTTCAAATTCCAAATACTTATGCTATCATAATTTTTAAGACATTTCTTATTTAAGTCTCAAATCAATCTAAACTGCTGAAACGAAAAATTCTCTGGCACAAGCATAAGAGTAAACGGGAATTTTTTTTAGGCACAATTGATCATGTCAGAGCAAACTTGCCTCTCCATAAAAGTTTCAGTGTTTATACATGTACCTGTGTACACAGATGAATTGAGAATGGTAATGATACCCAGGTATGATTCTATTGTACCCGCTGGATGCTCACATTTAGCCCTAGGTGACCCTATCTGAATCAATGAAAAACAAATATGTACTGTAATTTCCCAATTTCCAAGCCCTCTTAAATAAGATATTTGTATGTTTTTTTAAAAATCAGTATTTTCCTTATCTGCATGATAATATCCTTTTATTTCATTACCATTTTGCTTTGATTTTCCAGCCTAAATCAGCCTGTTCCTACATGATTTGGGAAAATATAGCATTATTTTTTATTGAAATTGGGAAGTTGTTCCCAATTTTATCTTTGTTTTGGTAAAATTAAAGTACTTTTTAGCCTGGGGAAGCAGCCTGTATTTGGCTGCTAACTAGGTTTGATTTCAGAATTACCATCAATGGAATAGTATGTTCTGTCTTTGGTCATCATAACATAAACATGTGCTAGGACATAAGAGAGGATAGAAGGGCTTCTTTACAATAGGTCATGCTTGCTGACACAGGGGGAGTCCACTTACAGAGGTCAAAGTTCACATGTAAATGCTCAACATGTATCTTTTATTTATTGAAACCTGTCTAATCTGACGAAAGGGATTTGAAATCCTGTAAAATATAACATGTCATTGGTATATATTGTATCCAATTTCCTGTGAAAAAGTACCAAATAAGACCTGTTTTTTTGACAAACTGTCTTGTTTGATCAATTAATATTGTGTTTCATAGAATGTCAGATTAGACAGGTTTTGATTTAATTATATGAAATGCTTCACTTTCATCTGTGTGGCAGAATATCACCAGCATGCATATATCTTTGATTGAGATCAGGCTGTCAATTACTTTAAGCAAGTAAAACATATGATTTACATTTTCTAGGGGAAGCAAAATAGCTAGCATGCAGCATCATTTCCCTACACCTTTCATGCAAAAGTTTTCTCATTTTCGTTTCGGAAATCTGCACCTCTCCATGAATAAAATTACAAATAATTTGTCTATCAAATTTTCTTTTATTTCAACATAATATGTTTTATCACTATAATTCTACAATTATTGTAGATTTACAAAATACTGGAGATATATATAAAGTTCAATTTGTCCATAAATTCAATCATTTCCACATCATCTCAATATATTACTTTCAGTACTAGTTTAAGTGAGAAAGTGCAAAAATCAATGAGCAAAATAACTTAAAACACTCAGCACCAAGTTTTTTAAATCTTCATTATGCATTTTTTGTTTCTTATCTTACCAAATATTTTGTTTGCATTTATATATATGAAAAGGTGTCAGATTAAAGTTAACTGTGACTGATTTATCTCCCATGGAAAATGATCATACCTGAGCTCGAGATACAAGGAATGTCTGAAAATCTTTTTATATTTTCTGTTATGATTAATTCAGAGTACCCAAGTATTATTTATCAAAACCTCTATTTTTTCATCAATTAATCAAAAGAAGTCTGAAATACCACAATTCATGAAGACGTTTTACTGGTTGTGCAGCGAAACTAAGTTTTACTGGTTTTACTGGATTTGCAGTGAAACTAAGAACTCTTTTTGAAAGAAGAAAACTATGTAACTCGGTTGTGCAATTCCACTCTTACGATGCTTAGAGCTAGTATATTTTTTATCAGGGCATGTGAAAATTTTGATACTTACAAACTAGCATTTTTTTTCAAATATGCTTGCTGGTTGGTAAAGTACTCTGAACATAAAACTGTACACCCTTGCAGTAAAGGTAGTATAAACAATAATGTAGAGACTTTGTTATTCTGACAGAATGACAGAAGTTCAATGTCATGCAGACTATCATGATTAGAATGTTATTAACAGTTCCTGCTATGTATTTCCTGGTAAGTGGAGAACTATCACATTACCTTCCAATGTCAGTGATAGCTATCATTCAGTACCTACCTAGAGTCATGGGTATATGGTCACAGTAGATATCTTCAAATATGAGCGGAACAGTGTCACTATCACCATCCATTTCTGTACACTCTACACTCAGGGCTGGAATGCTCCGGAAATACTGTGAATCACGGACCATGTTGGCCAGATCAGCATGACCATGATAGCTATAGATACAGAATACACAATTTAAATTCAATAATAAAGAATGCAACAAATCAAAAATATTGAACATAACTTTTTTCCTATTCCATATCGATTCTCATATACAAAGCTTAATTGAAGAAATTATGAAATAAATCTGGGTTTTTTTCACACTTCTTGTTTTACAAGATCTTACATGGATCTTTAAATTTGAAGTAGATCTACAGTATACGTTACCATACTTTGTTCTACTCTTTCAAAATTTTAAGTTGCATTTGCATTGCATATGTCCTGTTTTACCCAAGTTTTGTTAAGAGGTGCAGAATTGGTGTCAGAACCTCGATCAGCAAAGCCTCGATTCTGATCCAAATTCTACACCCTTGGTTAGAATATCCAGATCCCCCATACTTAAATATGACAGAATTTATCAGCCATTAAAGTAAAGTACCAAAATTTGTATGCTTGATGAAAAGTCATGAACTTAGTATTGTAAAAGATTTTTTAAATAATTTACTGCAGGAACATAAACTTAAGGAATATTCATGGATTTCAGGAGTTTTGTTACCTTTGGAAAACCGGATAGCAAAAATGAAAATTCATGAATAAGGTCATTAATATTCATGGTTCTTGAATTCAGTTTTAGTTGGCCCTTGTTTTTAGGCTCAATTGAACTTGTAGTATACTGAAGATTGTTCTAAAGGTTTTTTATATCTCATATATGATTTCTGCTACAATTTTGATTCTATAGACAGCAAGCATATTAATGTCAATTACTCTATAAATCAAAAACAACACAGGACTTTTAAATAATTAATTTAATGCATTTTGCAAAAATGAAAAAGTAAAATGGCATCATTCCCTTAAAATTATCTTTTACATGAAAATGTATCGAGTCTCCTTTGTTACTAATTCAGAAGGATACCTATTTTTTTAACCCATGCAACACTCAACTCTTCATTTCTTATACCTTGGTTCATAACAGGAGAGGCATTCAGGTTTTGGATAATCATGAGTAAAAAATCCCTCAGCAAATCGTTTAACCTACAAACAAAAAGACACACTCTTATTAGGGTATAAAAACACCATGAACACTGCCCCAACCTGATTAGGCCAAAAATGTAACCTGGTTATCTTTATTTTCCCGAGCCAGATTTTGAAAAAGTCTTGACACTGAAGAGGTTCTGGTTACATACCCTTGGTAACTAGTATTTTGACAATTTTCACAATGTAACTGTACCAGAGACATTAAGGTCCCTTTGGTCTCACTTTCAATTTAAAATCACCATTAATAAATCGGTGTATATCATGCTGAGATATCATTGCATTCAATGTATTTTGGGAAAAATATCCCATGGCAGTTTTGTTACCATTTGCAAGTTATCATGATTGGAATCAATGACAGTGCCATTTTAGTGGCTAATTAAGGTGTTTAAATAAAGGAACCAAGACTACTGAACATGGATATGATATAATTAATACTCAAGTAGACATTATGACTATAAAATTATACATTTGTGCAGATCATTTTTATGAGTGTCATTTTATAATTGTATAAAATCATATTCATATGACCTGTGAAATGGTGACAAAAATTATTCCCGCAAGACTATCCTGATATGATTTTTTTTTTATCAGGGACTCATGATAAAAATATTAACAATTACTTTTGAGTCCCTGGAGGTAGCTAGGGCGTAAGAATTGTATCTGCTGCCCCCATTGCATGATCGTAAGAGGCGACTAAATTTGAGATCTTATCTTTTCTCTTCTTTCTTTCTTAACAACTTTCTTCTTCCTGATGACTCCCTTGACAATGCCTCACTTTTGGCATTTATTGAGCATTTGCCCCTGTGAGGAAGGCTTTGGGTTCTGTCCCCTGGCCGAGCCATACCAGAGTCCGTAAAAATGGAAGTTTCTACTCCTGCTTAACGCTCAGCAATTTAGGAGTGGGACAACTGATTCGCCCGTTGTCAGTATAATGTGACCTGGAGGGGTGTCCTGCTGGGTGTCTTCGACAGTATGTTTCAGTGAGGTAGCACTTTAAAGTCGACATCAGTTCAGCTCTATCACAAGGAGACGAACACAAACATAACGCAGCCTCCCACACACGCATACACTACACGCATGCATCTTGCTCACAGGGGAAGCCGTTCTTAAATGACCATAGCTGTTGATAGGACATTAAACAATACTAAACCAAACCAAACCAAACCCTAAACCATTATTAATTATAAGTGCCTCTCTGCCTTCCACAAAACCCCTCCATCTCCTGATATTTATATATAGAACAGCCATAACAAACTAATAACTCCTCAATACGAAGGTTTACAAACCCTGGCTGTGTGGTGTTCCTTAGCCAGGTAATGCATCACAGATTGATCAAGGGAGACAATTTCTAGGAACTGTGTCCACAGTATCACATTCTCCGCACACAGCTGGGTGATGTCTGTGGTGGCTGTCTGTAGTAGATCCTCCTCATTGTCAAAGTTCTGAGTAACAATCATGTTCATATTATAAACAGGAGATCAATTAATGTCATGTGGACAATAAGTACCAGGTTTGTAGGACTATTGATATGTTCAATGTTCAAGTACAGTAAGGTTATCAACAGAGTGTCAAGTACACTTCTGATACATTCAATGTTCACAATGTTTAAAGTAAGTGTTCAAATACATGATGATATGTTTAATGTTCAAGTCAACTTCCAGTTTGTCTAGCAAAATATGTTTCATTTCAAAATTTATGTATATTCATATAAATATATTTCTGCTGTTCTTTTGTTAGAATTAGCGATCCATTATTCAAACTTAAGAAAAAGTTATTTTAACTTTTATTGTTTGATTGGATATCCGTTAAATCTTGACACATATAAACATACCTGTAAGTTATTAACTAAGGTCTCCAGCCATACATGACAGTTTTTCTGCTCTGTGAAATACAACAAAAACCTGTGTCAATGTCCTGTTCACATTACTGTAGCTTTTGTGTCATGTCGAAAATGAGTTATGGCTTAACTTATAGCTATTTATAAACAAGCCACTTAATAAAATAAACTAATAGTTTTCCAAAAAGAATCTTTTCCTTATACTATCATAAATAACATAAGCAATTTAAGGTTTCATTCCTCCTAACCATTTCTTTTTGCAATTTAAGTTTTAGTTATCTCCCTTGCATATCTTTTTAATTCCCAATAACCTGGAGCAAGTTAAGGAGAGAAAGTAAATTATTTGGATTTATATATGAGACTGTTCATTATCAGTGAAATCTTCAACAGTTAAATGTGTCTCAAAGTAAGAATTTAAAATCAATTTTGATTAATATATGATTTTATGAGTTTGAAACTTCAATTTTTTTTGAGAATGTTAGATATCATATATCCTCAACATAAAGCTACAAAATTTCAGATTACAAACCTAGTTTAAATAGAGATCCTGAGATTTTGGATAGATACAGCTGAAATGTGGATTGTAGAGATTCAAATGTGGACAGCAAGATTGTGCACAGCTTCTTGTGTACATTGTAGGCATTATGCATCTTGATGGTATCACTAAACACAGGCTCCTGTAAAATAAGCACAAAATACATACGAAAACAGGGAATGGTGTTGCAAGCAATTAATCGTCCCTCACCAACTAAATTTGGTTCCCCACCAACAAACTTTGGTATTAAAACTAAACACGGGATTAAAACTGATATACTTTGGCAGGTAGCCTGGTCTCAGTACATATAACAAAATTATAAGATGATGGAGTATATGCAGTATGCCCTGGACAAAGCAAAGCAAGGTTACCCAATAATTACAGCTCGATCTAGATCTGCATATAGTTACTCAAAAGGCCAAATTTCAGTACATGACACTCCATTGTCACTACAGGTATTTATATTACTTGACCAAATGTAAGACGAGTCGTTGACTCAATTTTGTCATCTAGTATAAATAAAGACTATTATTACTACTTACAAATTTGGCAATTGTAGGCAACATTATACAAGATATGCCCTGGAAAGAGTAACAGATTGACTGACAGACGAGTGACAAACTTATTCCGTCTTTGCGTATTGCAGAGTTATCTTCTCTTGTGAGCAGGTATTGATTGGTACGTCATTGGTTTGTGTGAGAAAATTAAGTTGTTTTCTCAAAAATTGATGACTTTACTCTCACAAAAAAATTACATAACAATCAATACCTGCTCACAAGAGAAGATAACTCTGCAATATGCGAAGACAGAATAGTTCTCTCCATTAATATCAGGGGGGACTAATAATCATTTGTAATGTATAATGAATAACTTCACCTTCAGCAACTTCCATTTATCATTTGCTGTTTACAATTAATTACAAACTTACCCCCGAGATGGTTCTACTCCCAAAATACACCATCTCTAATGTGGCAGGCTCTGGTGCTGGTTTGTTGGACTTTTGAGGTCTGGGGACACTGTAGTAAAGAACGAAAGTTTACTATGTATAACATACAACAATTATAACACAGGGTCTTAATTACAGCACAACCAGTCATGTTTCTATTCAAAAACAAGTGAATCAAAACCTACAACAAACTATCAAAAGTTGCACTGCAACCAACAATATAAATACGTAACACATGGTCAGGATTTCAGTACGCCAGTAAGTGAATTAGAATTTACAATAAACATTGATTTCATGGTGGATTACTATCAATATCACAAAGCTTCCTTTCAACAGATAACAAATTTAAGTATTAATAATGCAGGACTAGTTTATATCAAAGTCACTGAGTTAAGTATACAGTCGTCACTATTTACTGTACATTGAATGATGTACATATATATACATACCTCCATTAGGATCCAGTGTTATATGGGATTTTACCGTCTATATTACTTCTTTGACCCATATATATATAGCAACATAAATTTTATGTGTTGAGTGTCTTGTTGTGGGCAGTGTCCGTGTCTATACTTTAGAAAACTAATAATTTTTTGAATTAAACAGCTGCTGAATTATTCCTGACCTCCAAGAGCTTGTGACATCAATCTCAGGGTCCTTACCTAATGTAGGGTTGGTGTATTGCGATGAGGGTTCCATGGACGGTGGTTTCCAGGGCACACAGGTGGAAGTAGTCAAAGAGGACTGGGATGTGGTGATGTAGCCCCTTCGTTGGACTGAAGTGAAGATGTAGGGAACGCTGGGACACACATTCCATCTTTTCATGTAGGCCTTGAGGCCTGAAACAGAACCATTGGACAATACCCCTTTAGAATTTGACACTTAATTTATATTATAATGTCTCAGCCTATGCAAGTAGCCCCCTTGGATTATGATTGGTCTTAAAAGAGGAAAGACTGATAAGTTTGGTAAGAAACAATGTAAAAACAACCATGGAGTCTCCAACTTCATTCACAGAACTTACCAATTAGATGATGAAAGTCAAAATGAGGCTAAATATAGGCCATTTCGGATTTTCATTCAAGCGCCAATGAAATGTTAACACTTGAACAATAATTTTATCAGATGTCTGGACACTTTTGAAAAGTGGAATATGATTCAGTTAATCCAAGGGTCTTAAGATTTCTAACCAATACAAAAATAACAAAACATAGGAAGTGATAGAATAGGAAAGGGTCTAAATTTACTCTTTCATGCCACATATACCTTCATTATATGTCATCTACAAAACTAGATCTATGGTACCGGTTCCAACAGCACCATATTTCACCTTAACGATAGGGATATGCTAATAATGCAGAGGTGTATGATTTCATATTTATAATACTTATTAATAAGCCGGCAGGTTAATTTTGAAATATTCTAGTTGCCAGACCTATATTTTCATTGTAAACATTGGAAAAAATTGTCTAGCCCCAATATGAAATCGGCTAGTCCTTGGCAGTGGGCTAGTGGAGTACGTTGTACATCCCTGTAATGTTGTACTCTTTACACAGAAGTTTTTATTAAATTTTGGTTGAAAAGAAATTCATTTAAATCCTCAATTTAAACTGCATTAATCTATTCATGTTCACACAAATCACTTACCCACTTTCTTCCTCTGAAAACCATAACTCCAATTCCACCTGTAATTCAAGTTTTTCAAGGCTTTCCTCTATCTGAAAATATAACAATCACTGAAAATTACACAACTAACTAAATTAAATGAACTTTACATTTAAAATCAACTTGTATAAACAAAACCTAGCTTTAACAAGGATCCAGTTATAGAATTATACATTAATAAACATCAAACACGTAAAATTGGAAAACCTCTACGTATTCAGGAATACTGTATTACTGGTTTCACAGAGATATTTCTTTTCTTGGATTTCCCTGTAGAGCAACCAAACATCTGCTATTGATAACAGGAGAATTATGCTGATGTTATTTACTTTTTGTTCACTTGTAAATAACAGGTTTTTTTCACAAGTGGTGAGAAATATTGATATTTTACAGGAGTGCTGAGCAGTACGAGTGAAAAACATAAACATGAAAAATGTTCAACCATTGAGTCAGCCATTCTACACTATAATTGTGATGACTGTTTTGATGGTTACAATAAGTGTAGTAAGAGTACCCCAAGTAATTAAGCTCAAAAGGAAAGTAGTCTCTTAATAGGAATGGTCATGTTAGAGATTGTATTAATGCAGGAATGATTTCTTACATACAAGCTAGCTAGTTTTGCCAAATAGGGCTGGTCTCTTGAGCAGATAATATGACTAAACAACATGTACACATACTTAATCAATTATCTCAATAATGCTGTTATTCTGGTTTGTTTATGTTTTATATCCTAATAACTGCTATGGCCATTTTAGGACGAGACAGGTTTTGGAAGTTGAGGAAAACCAGAGTACTTGGAGACTCCGAGAGAAACCATCAAACTGCAGCCAGTACCTGGCATAGGCCTCAAACCATGCATATATATAATGCCATTATTGATGATGACATATTGAATAATTTTATGTGAATGCAGGTTCTGTCTCATATTGTTGTGTACATGCATGTAGTTAAATAAAAAAGACTCCAAAGGTAGCTATAATGATCAGGAAGCGGAAAATATTTCAATACTTTCACTAATTTTTAAAGCTTTGCACATATGGTATTTTCAAATACATTGTATATGTACTCATCAAATTACTGGTTTTTCTCACACACAGAAAATGTACTGCTAAACTATGATTCTTAAATCTCAAAATTCTGACACCCTCTTTCAACGACCATCAACATATTATGCAAAAGTGCAAAGAAGAAGTCTTGTATATTCTAGCATACAGTTTATACTGTTTCTCACAGGATATTAGACTTAACCTGTCTAATCTGACCAGTATGTTGTGTCCCACAAATGCAAGCTGTCAGATTAGACAGGTTTCACTCTATATATAGTTTTCACTGAGCAACCACTAAACATTCTATATATTTTCATGAAATCTTATTTCAAACACAGTATCTCTGGAATTATTATATTAGACAGGAGAAATATACAAACTGCATCTCACTATAATTTGAAATAATGCTCACACATGAATATCATAATGGGTGTGGTTTGTGATAGATGCCACTTGATCCACACCAGCAGCGTGTATCTTAAGTAGCGTTTATCATTTACCGGCTGGCAATACAACAGAGTATATAATTATTGATTAAAGATAAATATTGAACATGACTTTGCTATTACGTGTCTGCCGCCTCTACATATAGAACAACATTGATAAATCCTCCAGCTGTTTTACAAATCGTCCTATAATGCCCCTACAGCGATGATCCTCCAGTATTGATTTAACTTAGCCCAAGCTGATTTTCTTTACACACAATAAATCTGGCGACCATACAAGATGAAAATGGCCATGTATGTTGGTATTTACCACAGCAGTGTTTACATATATGGATTCTTCAGTACAAATTGCATAGCCATCCCTTCATCTTGATGTGTTCATTTATTAGGTTTTATAGTTATGATAAATGTTCCAATTTTTATCATTCACAAAAGCAATTTTCAAACATCTTTCATTTAGCTATATTCAGTGCATATAATATATAAATTAAATTCAGTTTTTTGAAGTTGGATCTCTGCATTTAGATTTTGAAGAAAACATGACTTCAGGATATGAGAATATATTGATATTGAATAGAAATGGTGTGTGCATGATGTCAATGTCAAAACTAGATTATCAAAATCTACATACAACTGTCTGGTAATGTCATCTAATGAAAATACAACATTCTGCTGGCATAACTATATGATACATGTAACAATACCATGTTGATATTATCCTTTATTTGTTGTGATTTCATGTAATCATTACATTAGAAAATATACTTTTCTACTATCTAAACACTCCTCCGTGAATAATGGTAGCTGGCTGGGTTGGGAAATTACTAGGAACTTCCATACAGATTACCTTGAACAACATTCATAATTATACGCATAATGTCATTACTTAATTAGATTAATATCTCTCTATTATTACCCAATAGTCTATATAAATTATAATTAGTTATTTTTGACTGTTTCTGGCCTTTTGTCCAATTTCGGCTGTAGGGGTGAAACAGTCAAAACTGTTTTCCCGTCAGAGCGAACTGTTACCCGGCGCGAATTCGATGCGCAGAAATCCCCCTCGAGAGCCCCGTTCAAGCGTTTCGGTGATCGCGACTCAGTGTTGAAGCAATGGCAACATTGCATGCAGCATTGATACTAATTTTTATTTGGTAATAAAACAATTGTTTCATGGTTATTAGGTCACCTGAGCTTTAGCTCAAGTGACGTATTGCTATCCGTTTTCGTCCGTCGTCGTCCGTTAACATTTTACATTTCAAACTTAAAGTCAAGTTCTGCTGGGCCGATTGAACTGAAAGTTGGTAGGAATGATCGCCTCATGGTCCTGACAAAGTGTTGTTATTTTTCGGGTCGATCAGAAATCCAATATGGCCGCCACGGCCGCCATTTTGAAAACCTATTTCAAACTTAAAGTCAAGTTCTGCTGGACCGATTGAACTGAAAGTTGGTAGGAATGATCGCCTCATGGTCCTGACAAAGTGTTGTTATTTTTCGGGTCGATCAGAAATCCAATATGGCCGCCACGGCCGCCATTTTGAAAACCTATTTCAAACTTAAAGTCAAGTTCTGCTGGACCGATTGAACTGAAAGTTGGTAGGAATGATCGCCTCATGGTCCTGACAAAGTGTTGTTATTTTTCGGGTCAATCAGAAATACAATTTGGCTGCCATGGCCGCTATTTTGCTACTAAGTTCTAATAGGCCGATCTCACTTAAAATTGGTCTAGGAATGATCAGCTCATGGTCCTGACAAAGTTAAGTTAACATTATACTATTTTTTACTCAAATTGGTACATATTTCAACAACAAAAATAAATACTGTTAACTCAGGTGACCGTTTAGGCCCATGGGCCTCTTGTTTTGGGAACAGTCAAAACTATCATCCCTCGGTAGGGGGAATCCCTCGGTTGGCCTAGCGGCCTCGGGCAAACAGTTCCCCAGGGCTTCCCCCTACGTCGGGATGAAAGTTTTGACTGTTCCTCAAATAGCCATGAAACAATTGTATACTGAAAACATGCAGTAATAACACTGTATACATGTACAGTACACCGCTTACTGAAGGAGGTGCAAACAGTGATAATCTTTACGTCCTAAACACCAAGATTAGAAACTCACACATACTAGCAAAATCCATGGTAATTTTATGAATACATGTATGTAGCATAAATATCCTTCACTCACAAGCTTAATTTGCTGCAAGAAGATCTTAATTTTGATTTTGCGATATTAGCAAATATGTTGTCCAAAAGATGTCCTTGTAGCTCTAGGCCTACACATCATTGATTGATTGTCTGTCATTGTGAGTATCTTTTTACTGCTTTATTTGTTCTGGGGTTCATTCAAGTTTTGCAAATGAGTTCAGAATTAGCGAGTGAAATTTTTGATCACTTGCATAATAACTTCCCTATCTGCTTACCTGATTACTTATTGCCCAAAGATGTATAATTTCACTAGCCTAACACCCTGGACAAGTAGATTTTTGTCAAGGTTTCAAAATTTCAATATACAGGTCAGGCTATAGTTAGTAGCATTTTTCAAAATCTTTCTGCAGGCAAGAATTTTACAAGTGAAACTGCATATCTCTGACAGTGAAACTTTCAGATAATGATTTCTGGAGGAACATCTATACATGTACATGGATTAGGTATGAAAATAACCTGGGAGAGCCTCGATCTGTATACTGAATACCATAAGGAAAGTAACCTGATCATGAGATTACTCAGATCATTATGTTCCTCTAATACTCCATGTTCCTACAACTTTGTTTTGTGTCTGACCATTCATGCTCCTAGTAATTTTATTTTCTTGTTAAGCTGGTGTCACACCTGACAGGTGTACAACACTGTAAATCTCAACCGTGTATTATTACATAATTGATACTCAGGAAATGCCTGGAGACACAGACTTCAGACCAGCTGTATCAAATGTACTCATTTTATAGATTCCAGATCAGGATCTGACATAACAAATCCGTAGCCCCCCCCCCATCCCTGCACAAACTCTGCTGTCCCACAAGGTACGTACTGCAAACAAATTCTAGGTGACACAATTGATGAGATATGCCTCGTACAAAGTTATACACACGGACTGACAGAATGAAAACTATCGTCCCCTCTGGTATTACTGATGGGTGGGACTAATTACAGGATTAACAACAGTATCATATTATACCTTATCTCCTAGCCTTAAATCTGTCACAGTGATACAAGTGACCCTTATATTATCACTTAAAATGTTAAAATTGATGCAAGATGGATAAATGTAGGTGAAATAGCAAGAATAACACTGCATTATAGTAATGGTGCAGGAGACTAGATTTCTGTACATGATACTCAACCTTCTCCAAGTTACATGTGTACTGTATACAACTATAGCATGCTGATGAAGTCCACACATGGTTATAAATGTCAACCTAAGAAACGATGTTGACGGAGGACAAAGTCTGAGGTTGAAATTGTTTTCTAAGGTCAATATATATTTAACTAAAGACAAAATACTGTTGATGTTCAGCCAGACAGTCAACCCCATGACATTAATAAAGATTTCCATTTTAAATGGGCATATAAAAACCACATCTGCACGGATGAAAATTCACAATTCAAAATATGATGCTTTTCTTGTTTTTATCAGCATGAATATCAGCAAGATAAAGCCACTTCTCTTTTTCAGTAAAATGCTAGAAGCCAAAATGACATCCTCCTACTGAAATCTGTATTTGCTTATAAGTTTTTAAGAACCTATGTTCAAATAGAAATCCTAAAGCGTTTATACAACCTAGATCATTCTTTTGCCATATATCAAATAATAGTACAGGTGTAGAAATATATATAAGTGGCCAGAGTATGCAGACAAGATGGTATTAACTCGTCAAGGTATTAACAATTAAAACATTTGATGAATATTGTATATTGTATAATTCATCTTGTAGATTAATTTCAGGAGGATACCTAGTGGTATACAAATCCAGGTTTCCATACCTGTATTGATACTTGTGCTGATTTTTTTTTTCAACTTGATTCAACAGAAAATTAAACAAGCAACAGAAATTGAGGGATATGGTGTGGGTATTTATAAAACAAAAATGTTTTCAATCTAATTCTAATATCCTTGTTGGTCATTTGTCATAGTTTTCAACAGGCACCTTTCAAATGGTAAAATTTATTCATTTTCAAAACACTTAACAAAAATAAATCAACACATTTGGGCAGTGCCACACAAATATGATACATCCAAATATTTAAATACACACAATAATATACTACTTACCTTTGAGCTGTCGACGAGTGTGTGAAGCCGATACAGCACCATGTCATTGATCTGGACATCCTCGTTGCGATACAGTATTTGGAAAGTCTTGCTGTAAGCCGTTCCATTCACAACACACGCGGGCAGCACCAGTACATCCTCTGTAAGGCAAAGCACACAATTCAAATGTAAATTTGTTACCTAGACAGGCATTTCCCGGAATATTTTGAGAATTGTTCAACCTTCATTTTTTATTCAGTAGGAATTTCCATTATTTTTTTCCCGTACATCAAAATATTATTTTTATCATAGTTGGTGAACTTAAGAGCTTGTTACAGAAAAAAAATTACAACGCAGAATTTCACAAACATTTTACGTTAGGTAAAATTCTTTGGCTTTGCATTATCATTTTGACTATATAATAAGTTAATAACAACAGCAAAACTTCTAAATGTAATAAAAACGTTTACCTGATGCCTTGGCTAGGGTCACCTCTATCTTAGCTGGAGTCTTTGGACTTGTCTTCAGACTGGTTCTTATATTATAATACCTACAGAAACATCAAATAATGAATCTGAATTTACCTGATGAGAATTTTTCTAACACAATACATTTTTGTTTACAAATATTAATATATATATATCATTTGATATACACGATTGAAGTCAAACCTCTAATAAAGATAACTACAGGTTTCATTGTACAGCTGTTATGATTTGGAGTTTGTGAGACATGCTCAATATTAAGACCCTTTTACTCTTTTTCCTTTATTTTTTACAAGTATGTTCTGGTATAAATTTACAAAATTATTGAAATGGCAAAAAGTGCATACAGCATCATTATAGGAACATATAGAATTACCAGAAAATACAATTTTTAATTCCTGGTCATTCATTATATGATTTCCTTTATGTTTGGCAAAAAGATATGCAAAAGTGCACAATGATTTGCATGGCCTCCTTGTTTTGACCAATCTGAATATAGCATTTCAAAAAATTATTTTTTTGAGATTTATTAGATATAAACTAAATACTGATATTTTTTTTATAAAAAACAAATAAATATATAACAGGTATACAATAAGAGTTGACACACTAACTATATGAGGCTTGGTAAGATTTTATGTCAGAGCTAGAGCAAATTTATAATGGTTTTGCTTGTAGACTTCTGAAATCCTCCTGTGAGCTGTAGACTTTTCTGAAATCCTCCTGTGAGCTGTAGACTTTTCTGAAATCCTCCTGTGAGCTGTAGACTTTTCTGAAATCCTCCTGTGATCTGTAGACTTTTCTGAAATCCTCCTGTGAGCTGTAGAATTAACTCCAATTCTATTTAAATTGTACACCCCTGTCCTGATTTACTGATCATGGGCCCTATGGGTACCTAGATCTTAGCAATAGATCACAAAACAAATCCAGTAAATATCTGTACTTACCCTCTCTGAAACAGATCAACATTGTAGAACTTGTTGTACTCCACCGAGAACTCGAGAGTAGCCTGAAGTTCAGTCATACCTCTGAAACCAACAATGAGAATTTTGTCATCAAAATATCCAGGAATTTTACCAGTGTATATATAGATTTATACAATTAATAAATTGACCTTCCAAATTTGGCAAATATCATCACTACCTGCATTTTAATATGTTTTGACTTTTTCTGTCTTCTCCAGTTCACAATCGTGACCAACACTCTTTTAAAACTATTTATTACCCATTCAGACCAAGTCTTTCACTATTGGAGCCTTGGATCTGGTAAATTATTTTTTCACTAATTGCTGGTCATAAAAGGTTTTTACAGGAGGACCTGAACAAATGGTGACTGTTGGCGATTTCAACATATGTGCAACCAGAGGCCATATGGTGACTGATTACCTGGTTATGATGCATTGTTACTCAGGGGTCGATACTAACACTAGTCCGGCACTAGTAGATTTCAGCAAGGACTAGCGAATCACCTTACCTAACTTGTCCTTTGGACTAGTGAAAAATGTGATTACAAAATAAGAATACTCTGTTTTAAAATGTAGAAAACTGCTTAAAATAAGATATATTGCATGATAATTGTCAAAATTTTCCTAAAACTTCACCATATTTTTTATGGCAGTAGTTATTTTAAGTCCCAGGGACTGTCCCCTACTTTTGATGTTTGATTTAAACATATTTTATTGCAGAATTTGTAAAGGGATTAGGCACAAGTTATTCCAACTTATGAAGCCTTCTCCCAGGAATATTTTATACAATGTACATGGCAACATCAATAAATTTTACACAAATTATAAATGAAAATAATTTTTGATGTTTCGATCGTGCTGTAGATTGCGACGTTTCATTAACAGGAAATCTGGGACTAGTTACATTGACGAAGGACTAGAAAATAATCTATTTAACTAAACCTGTGGACTACCAAGCAAAAAAAAGTTACTTTCTTACCCTGGTTACCCCTGTTTAAGTTACTGAAATTAACGGTGATTTATTACAAAGTACATGTACATAGTCCTAAGATGAGTCTGTGACATTTACTTTGAAGAATGGTAATTATATATATATATAAATGAATGTAAAAGTTAACATGCTATTTCGTAACATTCTGTGGTATTAGTATTAGAAAATGAAATAGATATATGCTATAAACATTGTAAATGAAAAGTGATACAATGTTAATAACACATTTCACTTTCTATAACACTATTTAAATGTTATGAAAGGTCAATGTCTAAGTTCATTTATTCATCACAGTCACACAGCCTTTGGTTTTACATTTATATACCGATATATATGTCACTGTATTTCACTATGATTTGAGTGATTTCTGAAAGCTATATAACCACCTTAGTTAAAGACAGTTATATATGTCTGTCTACCATGCACTAGTAAATTAAAAGAGAAATTAAATTATACCCAGAAGTAGATAAACTTAAGATAATATGACATTATGTATACCTAGCATTTAATTGGGTCACAAAGGAGATTGACATGTATATATCAGCCTTTAAATGCCTAATTACAGACTAACTATTTATTGGGATCTATAAATATGATTTATCAGGTGGTTGAAATTGAAGGTGACTATATATATGTCATCTTTTAGGGGGCTTAGTTTTGTGAACACATCAAAATGAAGTGTAGAACAGCCAGTTCAAGCAATCTTGCATACATTTGTGTGTCTGATAATCTTTCGCATCGATATTTATCAGAATCTGAACATATTTCAAGTAGTAGCCTAATTAAGTCCAATGTTTTTCCTTTTTGTTTTTTGTTTATTTTGAAGGGAGGAGCCTTATAAGGGGCCAATCAATTAAATAACCTGTCATCTTGGTCAGAGGTTCTACAAGCCACACTAGTAATACTGTAATATAAACTGAAATGTTTGAAGCTAAAACAAGCACTTGCATTTTCAGATCTAGAGAAAGCACAACATTTAATAGGTGATAACGAAGTAATGTTGCAGATTCAATGAGGGACGTATCAATACATTCTTCAGAGTATTTAAGATGTTCACTTAAGGATCATAACATAAAATGATCTCTCAATAGATACTGTACTGCAGTACATTTCTTATATGTTTTTTCCGTACAAGTTATTTACCACCAGAATGTTATTTCCTGAAGTATGCAAGAATATCGGCCAGCAGTGAACTGCAGTTTGAAAAACAAATTATGATCTATTCGTATAGTTCTTCTCAGGAAGAAGATAGCAAAGCCCTGTGTAACAGTAGCACAGAAACAAAAGGGGACACCTATGAAATTGCAATACATTACAATATACAGCTGATATAGGCCCTGTGTAAAGTCACAACATGGGGACCAAGAGTCAGAACTGTCAATGTCAGTGTGAATATTACAACACATTTTTGTCACATGTGTAATTCAGCGGATCAATGAAAATGATAAGCACTTTTCTACTTCATACCTTTGAAATGTTATGAAAAGACATAGAACGTAAGTTTCTGTGATGAAGATTCTGACTGTCATTTGTCGACATGCTATGAATCAGTGAACCCGAACGTGTTGACATATCGGTAGACATTTTATCAACATTTCATCCCTCGCTCTTTTTCGGATTAACTGGTGTTTACTACAAACCTTGTGAGTGTTTCGGTCTATTCTTTCCGGGTCAACCCTCACCAGAAAGGCCAAGTTTGGACGTAATTTGGGATTACCCTAGCGATCATGTCTAATGTAAACTGACTGACATGCCAGACAGATTTCCACTTCCTGTAAAGTTTGCGCATGCGTAATAGTGTTTTCCGACAGCTTGACATTCGGGCGGGAAATGTTTTGTAATACTTTTAACTTATTTTCAAAAGGGTGCCTACATAGTCAATTAAGTCACAATCTAGATTAGAGTCAGATATCTCCTGGTTTGAAGATAGCTCTACTTAAGCCATCATTTAGGGATGGCATTTTAATAGAGTGTTAATCTTCATAACCGCCTAAAATTCTAATAATACTCCTAGTAGGTATAGGCTGTGCTTATATTCTCTGGCCCTTGTGATTCCACTAATTCATCCAAAAACCTATAAAAGAGACTCATTCATATGCAAATATGATGACAATGATGACGTCTTGACCAATCGACCGAACTTAGAATCTAACTATTTAATAGTCTGGTGATGTTGTATGTTCAGCATCGTCGGATATCCACGGTTGATTTCGCTTCGGTACTCACTCATCACTGACATGATATGTATGTTCAGGCAACCGAGACTATATAACAGTTGGTATGTTTGGACCTACCCTGCTATATGGAGAGCATCAGCACTGATAAGACGTGTTAAAGCAAGGTTTAGATAAACACTAAAAATATATTACATGATAGAATAACCTGCTTCGAAACTGGACTGATTAGACCACACTACAATTATTTTTGTTCAAGCCTTTACTAGCTGTACTGAAAAGATATTACGGTCTATAGTTACTTGTACATTGAATGAATTTCATAATTGTTCAAGAGAGAAATTGCGGCGAAAATAGAGACACACGGTAGTCTAGTGGTAGGACGCTGGGCTCGTGACCGAAGAGTTGCGGGTTCGAGTCACAACACGGCACTCAGCTTGTTCTAGTCTACTCAGCTGTAAATGAGTGCGTGGTTGGACAGTAATATATTTGTAGAATGCTAGCTGTGAGATCCGAAATGGCAGCACCAGTTGTTTGCTCCCAAAGGAGTTGATAAAGATATTGGCTGGTTGCAAAGGCCCTATAACAACGGATAATAGTTCGTGAACCGTTTTGAGATGACCTACGAACTATAGGTTGTGATAACGCGGTATATAAGAACCTGGAATTATTATTGTAATGAAATTAAATGAAATAAGAAAGTACCTAGCAGGAATACATGTGGTAAGTCTATGAAGAAAGTCATAGCGTCCACATATTACTCGATCGGCAATAGCGATACGAAATGGCAAATAGGCCTAATGAAAATGTATGTGATCCGAAACATAGAAGTAAAACAACAATAACAAAATTGCCTAGAAAGCCCTTTATAACATTGGTGGTCTGCAAAACATAATTTATGTTTAAGTTAGTAGCTCATGTAATTTCACATACAGCATATATGTTATCGTAGACTACGATACATTCCTAAATCTAGCCAGGGACGTATAGTGAAGTCTATATACTGTCCCTGATCTAGCCAGGGACGTATAGTGAAGTCTATATCCTGTCCCTGATCTAGCCATGGACGTATAGTGAAGACTATATACTGTCCCTGATCTAGCCATGGAAGTATAGTGAAGTCTATATACTGTCCCTGATGTAGCCATGGACGTATAGTGAAGTCTATATACTGTCCCTGATATAGCTATGGACGTATAGTGAAGTATATATACTGTCCCTGATCTAGCCAGGGACGTATAGTCGAGTCTATATACTGTCCCTGATCTAGCCATGGAAGTATAGTGAAGTCTATATACTGTCCCTGATATAGCCATGGACGAATAGTGAAGTATATATACTGTCCCTGATCTAGCCAGGGACGTGTAGTTAAGTCTATATACTGTCACTGATCTAGCCATGGACGTATAGTGAAGTCTATATACGGTCCCTGATCTAGCCAGGGACGTATAGTGAAGACTATATACTGTCCCTGATCTAGCCAGGGACGTGTAGTTAAGTCTATATACTGTCACTGATCTAGCCATGGACGTATAGTGAATTCTATATACTGTCCCTGATCTAGCCAGGGACGTATAGTTGAGTCTATATACTGTCCCTAATCTAGCCAGGGACGTATAGTGAAGTCTATATACGGTCCCTGATCTAGCCAGGGACGTATAGTGAAGTCTATATCCTGTCCCTGATCTAGCCATGGACGTATAGTGACGTCTATATACTGTCCCTGATATAGCCATGGACGAATAGTGAAGTATATATACTGTCCCTGATCTAGCCAGGGACGTATAGGGAAGTCTATATACTGTCCCTGATCTAGCCATGGACGTATAGTGAAGTCTATATGTTGTCCCTGATCTAGCCAGGGACGTATAGTGGAGTCTATATACTGTCCCTGATCTAGCCATGGACGTATAGTGAAGTCTATATACTGTCCCTGATATAGCCATGGACGTATAGTGAAGTATATATACTGTCCCTGATCTAGCGACAGAACGGTGGTAGGCAGTTGATTCAAACATCTGGAGACCCAATGGTAATATTTTTGTAATTGCCAACAGCTTTCTCTTCATGAAGTCGGATTTCAATGTTTGATGTTTCAGCTTGTGGAACAGGTATAATATCAATGGCTAAACTAGTTCTCTGATAACTTCAATTATTATAACACAAGAATCGTTCATGGTAAAAGAAGACTCAATTTGCAGTCGAGACAGGAAATGCAAAAACAAATCAAGATTCCAAAGACAATATGCATATACCCCTTTAAAAGAAATGGAAAACAAATCTGATGTGTCTTTGATATTTAGAAAATACAAAAAATTAAATTGTAAACGTATTCATATAAATGTAATTTAATATATACCGTTTTCCGTGTAAAATTACCAAATAACCTATGCATAAAACTTCACCGATACAGGTAGCTGAAGGGCAAAATCACGACGTGTTCAATTTTAATGATATCAATAGGAATGCGCTAATGAACACGTGTATGTACTATTCTAACATCCACAACAACTGTATCAGTCTGGAAGGGAAATAACTCTGTCTGGTGGAAACTATTGATTTGAATCTAAAAATCTACGAAAGATGTGAGAGAAAGATGCTCTGTATTGTTTTACACGACGACTATTGTTGTACTTGATGTAATCTGATGGTCTGAACATCATTAAATAAAAAATATAAAAAAGGTTTCTCGTTTCTGACTCGTGCAAGAAGGCATATTTTCTTTCAGACTTGACACTAGTAAATCTTGCAATACGTACGTCCATTAATCTCCGGTCAAATACAACGCACAATGTCGTCCTTCCCAAGGTTAGCTTTTAAATCATTAACTTTGTTATCATTTTTTTTTTTGCAACCAGAGGATGGTCCTATATATAGTAACCAAACTGTAACATTTCCAGTATGTTTCCGGTCACAAGAGGACATACTGCGGGGCCTGTGGCCAGCGTGTTTTGTACATACATAGTTATGTGTTTTGTTTTCAATTGTCAACAAGTTCTTCACCGGCAGTTGTGTTTCAGTTTCCGAAAAGATTGCTCCAGAGAAAACAGTGTTGTGCTCAAATGTTTTGTTCTTAATTACCAGTAACAATGGGCATACATAACATTTTCACCTGTAGACAAACTATGTTTTGGGCTAATAATGCCCCAAAGAAGCACGTGTTCGCATCTTAATTCGGGATCATATATACCTGAGTACTTTGGATACTTTGTGTGTAAACTACAAAGAGCGTAGAAACTGATTTTTGAGCAATGTGCCAGCATGTCGAGTCAGCGTTATCCTTAGGGAATACGTTGTGGTTAATGCTGATTTAGTTTTCGATTCATGTGTATTTCATGTGATACAGAACGGAACATAATTTCTATATTGTTACTTGGTTATTTAGATCAATATTAACCCCAAGTACAGACAGCCTTTTCCAACGTGGACTGTGCAGCAACATCTAGCCTGCTTTGTATTGTTAAGACGAACTCACAGTATATATAAGGACTGTTTAAGTAAGACGAATTCACAGTATATATAAGGACAGTTTAAATAAGACGAATGAGTAAGACGAATTCACAGTATATATAAGGACTGTTTAAGTAAGACGAATTCACAGTATATATAAGGGCTGTTTAAATAAGACGAATTCACAGTATATATAAGGACTGTTTAAGTAAGACAAATTCACAGTATATATAAGGACTGTTTAAGTAAGATGAATTCACAGTATTTATAAGGGCTGTTTAATTAAGGTGCTATATGCAGTCGGTAATTTTGTTTCAATTTCAGGATCCTTTAGGTTATAATTCTCTTTCGTTCCTGTTTAAGCATTTTAGTATCCGAAAAAAAGCTCCAAGTCTCAGATAAATGCTATACAAAAATCCAGAACTATCAATTAGAAGTTTTCTCAAACGTACAACAATGCCGTATCCTCTAAATTTGTGAATTAATTCTGATTAATCACGAGATCATTTAAGTGTGAAAATGGTAGCGAATACAAAAATGAAAAGTTCCAAAATTATCATTTACATAAAATAATTCCTTAATTTAACTTATACTTAAGTACACCAGCTGGGAATACCGAATTGCCAACAAAACCGCAATTTGAAATCAAAATCGACGAAACTAGGGCGAACTAAGTATAGATTTACAACGAAACCATTGAAAAAATACAAGAAGAGTGAGACCAGGTGTTCCGGAGGGGTAAGCGTCTTCTGCTTCGTCGACGACACCCGCCATGTAAATCTAGGTCAGGGAGGACTTGGGAAATTGGTTACAAAACAACAGTTCACACTGATGAGCGTAATCAAAGTCATCGACCTTGATATCACAAGAAGAAATACAATATCACGATAGCGACCATAAAAATAGCCACGGGTTTCATCAACCCGTATTTCTTGAAGCCCCGTGTTTAATAATAAGAGTGTAACTAAAAACAGAATAATAGAAAACACAGACTAATACTTTATGCTAAACATGAGCTGAAGTATTTCTTATATTATCTTGCACTTATAATATGTAGGCCTATATAACAATTATACGAATTATAGAAAGCATATTGTGTATGATCCACGATAACACTGTCTATGATACTTCAA